GTAAATCTGTAGTGCCAAACTTTTCTAGACATTTTTTTGTGGTTCTATTTACTTGATGTTTGTGGGGTTTTTTGCCAGAGTACTATAAGCTGGTGGGTTTATACAGTAGTTGTAATACACTGGGTTTTGTAGATAAGAAATGGTCGTGTAGCCCTTAGCTGCTTGATCTATTAATTGGATCCTTTGGGAGGGTAACCTTAACTCATTCACCCCTGAAATTTCATAATGAACTATTCCAACATTTGAATTGGAAGAGTTCAAATGTGTCTTCAGGGGTGAATGAGTTAATACAGGCTATAGCTGTAGTGCACATGCTTTACATTTGGGTAGAAGAAATGCTGTAATGGTTTCATCAGATCTGAAAGATTAGTTTTTTATGTGTAAATGAAGCCTTCTGTTTCAGGAATGATCTGTTTTACTTCATTAGCTTGCATTCATTCTTTTATAATCAGCGGAGAAGGCTGAAGTTTTCCGGGAGGATGCGTTTTATAATGGAGGGCTAGCAGCAAAGAAGGACCGCTTTTGTTCTGTTCATTATCATTATTTTGTTTTGATGTGTTATAACAATACGCTTTCATCATCTTTATGTAACGTGTAATTTGATATAAAAAAAGGCTCTCACCAATCGCTAAACCATCCACATAGTATACATTAAACCACAGAAACAATCCAAAAATTCTTGTGATCGGGGCCGCGGTGGCCAAGTGGTTAAGGCGTTTGACATTCTGCTGTAAGGCACCCTAGACCTGCACCACTGGGTTGGCGGTTCGAGACCTACATGGGGCAGTCGGTTGGATTTCTCCGGGAACTCTGGCTTTCTTCCACCACCAAAACCTGGCACGTCCTTAAATGACCATAGCTGTGAATAGGAGGTTAAACACAAACAAACTAAACCAAACAAATATGCTTGTAATATCTGGGGTGTTTACTCGGTCCTAACAGTTGTTTATACTCAGTTAAGTGTCACTTAGAATCTATTAGTAGAGTATTATATACTTTTTTCTAGGTTAAATATATGCATTTCACATATCAAATAGCTCTCTAAAATTAATATATGGAATTTATAAATAAGCTATAAATTGTCTTATCACTAACATCTGGGACTTGGTATACGTATTTGAATGTATTTGTACTGAAAACATCACTATAAAAACATATACACATGTACATCTAGCTTACATACAGTGACATTTCCTGAGGTTGATAATACTTTTTATAGACCCTTTTAAAGTTAATATTGTTTAATGATTCATGACAAATATGTTCCTAGATTAAGCAGTAAATCCATGGGAATGTTGACTGTTAGTGGTTCATACATCAACAAGTACATTTACCTTGTGTGAGTGTAGGTGACAGGTCAATATTGTACGTCAACACATGTTACATTTCAAATGTAAACAAAGAACTGATATCTGTTAGTTTGTGTCAACAGACAGTCTGAGTGTGGTTAACACTGTCCAAATGTAAATATATATGTGTGTGTGTGTGAAGATATGTTAATATGTAGGTATGCTCCCAAAGCACATAAAACACAAAATGCACCACGATATATTGTGCATATGGTACATATAGATTCGTACGTGTGTTTAGCATGTGCAGCGAAGCCAGTTAAAATGAAAACCTTCGATGACGATGATGAGTTCAGCACTGAACATGTGTGGTTCTATTGTAATTTCCATGATGTAATATAATTGTCTAACTAAATATGACTCATAATTATAAAAATGCACATTCACTGCGTTATAAACAAAGACCTTGTAAAATTCAGCCGACCTGTTAGCTTGATTGTTAAGATTAATTACCGTGGTTTCTTTTAAATGACTTTGTAGTTTTAAATTTATTTATACTACTTGTAAAATATTATGAAATTCATTGCTTTGACATTTGACTTGCAAATTTTTACATAAACAGGATTTTGCCAAAAATTAGATTGCTTGAATTAAGCTAACAGTGCTGAAGTAATTAGTCCCCAGGGAGAGCTGTTGCTTTGCTATGTGAATAAGTGTCCCTATCATTAGGCCTTATAAAAAGATTGGTGTGTTTCATGGGGTTTTTTCTCCACACCAGAGTTATTCACCAAATTAAATGCTTTGTTGTTTTCTGTAATAAGATGAAAAATAAATTTGAACATACTCAGATTTGATATTTCTATGTGTACATTGAATGTACGTATGCTGTGATGAAGATACTGATGCTGACCTGTATGGAGTCTCCGTCTTTGTAAGCTGACCAGACTATAAATGTAGGCCTACAGTTATGTGTCATGTCTCATTATCTACCCCACTAGAGCTGATTGTTATTGGTGATAAACCATTACTACATAAGATGACAGGGTTGTGGTCAGTCTGTTGGTCAGTTGGTCAGTCGTGGATGGATATAGCTCAAGGGTACATATGTCTTCAAATGCAGATTTTTAATTCTTCGTGATGGTTGGATTGTCATTTGGAATTTTTCATGCTCTGTCGACGTTAAACTGACACGGTGGTTACATTCCCTTAACATTGCAAGTGTCGACTTACCGAAGCTATTAATATAACCATCCCACTGGTGTAGTGTATAAGATTGTATTTACCTGCCACAGACGTTTAGGGGTGTTGTCTTACACGAATGTCATCACTTGACCTTACTTAACGTTGATGGCTCAAATCAGAATTTCGTATATACGAGCAGCTGGATTATGAAGTCGCCCAACAGAAAAAGCACTTCCAGGTATGGTGACAGAAGGAATTATTGGATAAAAAGGAAGTGCAGAATATTTATGATGTTTTCCTTACTTTGTACAGTGCTTGTGTCCTGTTAATGTTGTGCATGATATATGGGTTTTAATTTTGGATTCCAGCTCCACCTACGCAGCCAGTAAGAAGGACAGTACTTGTAGGCCTATAAATTCTACACAGAACAGATTATTGTCATATGTCTATGGGTTGTGGCAACAGATTATATGCCTTTGGGTTCTTCCGTCTCACAGCTTATAAACCTGTCTAGACTGCTAGCTGAGACTTCGGTAAATACTAAACCAGGCGAGGGGGACAACAATATACGGATGTGCGCTACCAAAATACTTTGGTGTTTCCGATACTCTGTATGTATGCATTCTGGCAAGGGAGATAACTATTTACTGCATCTGCTTAAATAAAACAGACTTTTCCGCATGCTGAGTCGAAGTTCAGTTTGGGTATCAAATACGCCAGTAAATACAACTGATGTGGATGATGTATAAAAAACTGAGTGGCATTAATTGTGTAGAAGAATGCAGAATCTCTGACCCGGAATGTAAACACACAGTTTTATAGTTTGAACTTTATCAGGTTATTTCTGTTTCACTTTATCTATATGTTTCCTCCCTCCTTAAGATGCTGGCACACAGCCAGCTACACCTGTCTGTAGAGGTGAAAGGATGGCAAAACCTTACTCTTGCTTCCTGATCTTTCCACAGGTTTTTTTCTTCCATACATTACATTCTACTTACATGTAGAGCTAAGAGATGTTTTCCATAAATTTAAGGTTATAAGGTATCACTTAGCCTTAGTCATGGTACATCATAATATCAGGATAATATATTCATGTGACAAGTTTTTCATATCAGTACAACCAGTACATTGGTAGTGTTACTTCTAGTCAACGTTCAAGTATATTTGTGATTTCCACACTTATTTATGTCAGATAAGTACTGTTACTTTACTTGTGTGTGTGTGTTTGTATGTATGCCTGTGTGTGTGTTTGTATGTATGCCTGTGTTTGTGTTTGTATGTATGCCTGTGTGTGTTTGTATGTATGCCTGTGTGTGTGTTTGTATGTATGCCTGTGTGTGTGTTTGTATGTATGCATGTGTGTGTATTTGTATGTATGCCTGTGTGTGTGTTTGTATGTATGTCTGTGTGTGTATTTGTATGTATGCCTGTGTGTGTGTTTGTATTTATGCCTGTGTGTGTGTTTGTATGTATGCCTGTGTTTGTGTTTGTATGAATGCCTGTGTGTGTTTGTATGTATGCCTGTGTGTGTGTTTGTGGGCGGGTGGGGAGGGGCTTATATTGATATATTATCAGCAACACCGTTATCATTATCATCTCTCCAAGGATTGTGTTATCAGCTGATACCAGATTTCACTTGGTTATACATGTACTTCCATGTTTTAGATACGTGCCCAGACACTTTTCTATATCAGTAAGATATGCATACTGTCATAATTTTAAACACAGCACCATCTGACTGATGTTGAATTTTTCTGATTCATGGACTGGATGAGTTAAAATTTGGCATCCGTCCATGTTTTCACAGACTCTGGTACAAACAACAACTGGACTAAATGTTCGTCTCCAGCATTACTCATCATCATCATTCCTGAATGTGTTGATTCATATCTGGCTTACCTTAACAATATCCTAATCTAGCTGATCTGACACTCATTGGAACATTTTCTTGGTAATCCCTCAGTGAAGTTTTTAGTTGTTTTTCCGTTAATATTTAAGGTGTGCTTTTTTTGTTTATCAGGGGAAATTATTAACCGATGAGAACTTAAACTTGACCACATATACATGTAAGGCACTCCTAATAAATACCTGGCTTAATATTACAAGAACACTTCCTAGCTAGGTATATATATACAGTAACGCTATACTTTAACAGACACAACCTGTCAACTGAGATTTGTCTGAGGGGGGAAAAAAGATTATTAGACAACCAAATCCCTGAAAACAATTTACCTTGCTATTTTAGCTTCTTGTCTGGGCCTTCTGGCTGTAGACCACTTACATCAGTGTGTGGGAGACAAATAAACATTTGATCGCATTGGGTTTTTATCAGAATTTATCAACAAATGATTGCAAGCAGATGAGTTCATTGGTCCTTTTTCTGGAAGCAATAAAATATTGTATTCTTACATGTTACGTAGGTTTATGAGTTCTGTACGATTAAGGTATATATATTAGTGTAGATGTACTACACAATTTAAAGGCTTCACACACAAGTGGGTATGTTCATCCTGCTCCCGGTGAGGTCTTACCCACAGTTCAATATCATTTTGAGGAAGAAGGAATATATATATATATATGTTTTTAACTTTTCTAGCTTACCTATTCATTCGTGTGTACAGCTAGCTAGGTATAACTTACGCCTCTGTGTGTGATATGTTGTCGGAATGGCCGCCAACATTATGAGGTAACATTGTGATATATGTACTGAAGTTTGAAGGAAGAAGTACGACTTTTTCTAACACTGGCTACACACACTGACTTACACTATGAGGTACTGTAATTGTTTGAAATATGATAAATGTATGTACGTTACAGTAAGTGTGTTAGACTGATATCAGCCTGCTTGTTATTTCTTAAGCTGTGTATGTATGTTACTTTTATAACAGGATTAAAAACTGCAGTAGAATTATCACTATTGGGGTAAAAAGGTCCATTTCCTTCGCACTTCGCAACTGTCAGAACATGTACACATGTACAATGGGTGTGTGTGTGTGTGGGGGGGGGGGGGGGGGGGGGGAGTGTATTAGGTGGCAGAGTTTGTAAGGATTTATAATATCACTTAGACAAATACCCACAGGAGCTCACATTCTGGACAGTAAAACTAATAATAACAGTTGTATAATTGAAGACCCCTGTCTAGGAAAAAGAGTTACAAGAAAGAGACTTTTGAATAATTAAATGTACTGAACAGCGTGTGATAGATCTTCATGAAAGAACGGTTTTAGCTTGCAAGGATTTTAGCAATGTAAAAATATTTATTCCTAAAAACCAAGGGTTGAATTCATTTTATGCAGTGGAATTTCCAAAAATCCATGATAACAAATTTTCAAAATTTCAGAAAAATGAAAAATGTTTACCAGATATATCAAAATGGAAACCAGCTCCAATCCCTCAAGCTGTTTTTAGACAGCAATTTTGCTGTTTTATTAACAGGCTGATTTAGAATGAGTCGGGTATTTTAGTGTTTTTAGTTAATTATAATGTGTCATTGTGTTCGTTACAGTGAGGTGCCCATAGTGACGGCGAGGGCCAATGTCATGGTCTACGATGACATCAATAAAAGATGGCTGCCGAGCGGCAGCACGCAGGGCCTGGCAAAGGTGCAGATCTACCAACATATGGTCAACAACACATTCAGGGTCGTCGGGCGCAAAATGCAGGACCACGAGGTAAGAATTTAACGTAGGGAGGCTGCAGGATGACATGTAGAGATGGCAGTATTGAGAATCACCAGGGTCAGTATTCATGAAACCGTTTTCATGCTCAAGCATGGATTCTACTTAAGGCAACTTTCTCTTATCACACTAAAATCATGTGATACAGTAAAGAAAGCCCTGTGAAACCATTGAAAAATTCAGATTGAAGTCTCTTCAATTTTTTTTCCGAATCCTTAACAAAATGTGTTTTGTTCTTAATTGATCACCGGGGCAAGAAAATGGGCTTTAACACAGATTTCAAGTTTGAGCATGAGAATGGTTTTATGAATAGATGGGCCTAAGTGTTGTTACTAGCGACAGTCATTGAACCTAATCTGTTAGATTCTGGGTTGTAATTTATATTTCATGCAATATTTTGTATGATGATACTATTAGTCACAAAGTGTTTTGTTAGGACTGAGCCGGGTGAGACAAAGCCGATCAAATCAAAGTACAAGCACGAGCACAAACCAGATAAATGTCATACTGAGGTATGTTCGGTAAAGCATAACAAACACAGGCAGCCATTTCTGTGTCGCCCCAAATAACTTCTTGGTGATCGGATAGATAGCGCACTTGCCTTTCACCCAGGCGACCAGGGTTCCATTCCCAGATCGGATCATGAAAAGGTATGGTGTCAACTGCCCAACCAGGTGGGTTCTCTCGGGGTACTCCGGTTTCCTCACACCTTCACTGCAATCATGGTACGTCATTGAAGGGGGCATAACTCTTGACAGAATCAGGTGGGTCGTTCTTTTTCATAGAAGTCCCACAATGTATATATTTCTGTTCAGAAATGATTTATCAAAGCTATAACCCTGCTGGAAGAAATAGTTCCCAATGCGTAGTTACAGGTTTTGGCGGTGGTACGGGGGTCCTTAATAACGAAGTAACTTGGATTAGATCAATGTTGCTTTCACCGTCAATCATTCACAGATTGTTTGTTTATACTTCATTTCTTCAGTGGTATTGGAAACGCAGATTTATGTAAAAATTTAGCAAATTTATAACCTAAATGGATCGCTGTCAATTCAACAGATAGAATCAGAGAGGTTCAAATTTAAAACTGTCGAGGGGAGGGAGGATGCTCTATGACTCCTACGATTGCTTTGTGCAGTTAGAGCTCACACTCATGCAGCATACATTCTATACACTACCATCACAATCGGGGCTGACACCTTTTTATTGGCCTTTTATCCCCCTGACATCTTCTGTTTCTCTTGGTGATGCCGATTGCGAGCTGTTAATGTAGTACTAAGGTAGAACAACGTTGATTTAGGTTTGTTTGCATCTGTAATTGTAGGGGGTGAGGGGCTGCATGTAAAAGTAGCAGGAGGTTTGTTACCTACATAACCTATTATAGGTATGTAAGTAACTATCAGACAAGCATATCATATACAAATGAGGTGCCACCAAGTACAACATGCAATCGCCAAATTAAAATAATATACTGTCGTATTTGGCAGCACACCGTTTGTATGTTGTGTACATGTCTGGCGTGGGATTCACTGTGTATTGGACAGTAAACAATGTAGATATGTTTCATATAACAGTGAGCATGTCAATGTGTGTATATAGATGTTGGTTCCGAAGGATGTGAGCCGTGTTTACATTCATATCATACAGGATACACACGACATTGGTGTGTCAAGTGTACTGCCGGGTCGGTCCCTGATAGTCAGAGGCTTCAAAGTGGAAAATGTCTTAACATCAGGCGTGAATAACTGCACATTCATTGTTAGACCATTGTACCTGGTACTTAATATGAGTCTATAAGCTTTTAAGCAGATTAAATTCAACGAAATTAAAAAGAAACTGCCAATGTTTATTTTCATTTTGGTGAATTGTGACGCAAATAGTTTCATATAAAATAAACTTGTTCAACTCATTCGCCCCTACGTATTTAAACTGGACTTGCCCAGTCTTTGATTTGGTAAGGTTAAAATTTGACTTTAGGGGTGAGTGGGCTAATATTGTTCTGCAATTGCACAGTTTGACCTATGACCCTTGACCCAGACATTTGGAATCTTTAGGACAGACATTTTACGTAATAGTACTAATGGTAATGAGAGACCTTAACAGCCCTCCCTCACTGCCCTCACTCACCACCCTCTCATAACCACTTACACACCTACTTGTTGGAGTGTGCTGGGTGCACCCTTACCTACTTTGAATTACCAGACAGATCTAAAGTGTTGGAGGCAGATCACGGTACTTACTGCCAAAGTAGGTGTGTGACAGCAGTAGTAGTGCTACCACAGACACTACAATAGCAAACTACACTGATCAATGGCTTATTGTACTCGTCTATCAAGGCTAACAAGGACAGTATTGTATACTGTAGGTAAATAGGGGTAGCACAGGGTAAGCTTCACGATTTTGAAAAAGAGCTAGGATGTAGGAGATAGGACTTCAGGGGGATGGGAATGAAGGGCAAACCAGTGTAGGAATTAGACTTCAAATCACACCTTTCTGTCGGTACTGCCTTCCACCTCCTTCATAGTCTTTATACACATCACTAGTTAAAAGAATGAACAGGAAATTTACACAGAAGTTAAATCAAATTCAAAAAATAAAATAGTGAGTGAGGTTTTGTAATCTGTTAATTTTCTTTTCAGGGCCATTAATTAATACAGTAACCACCAAGACAGCATTGTACAAATAAAACCTTTTCTGACATCAATATCCCTAAGTGTTATATAATGCAAGAGCTTTTTAAGAAATAATCAACATTTGTGCATGTATTATGATGGAACTTAAAACGAAGGTGAGAAAATGCTGGGAAAAAAAACTACATATGAGCTGCTTAGGCCCAAGTTAATTTTGAATCCCAAGTTATGTCTATCACCATAATATTCAAACCTATTTTGGTTTATATCTGTACTTCCACATAAAAATGTAAGACATCGTGACCAATATCATCTAAATACTAATATTAGGCTCACCTTTTGCATGCGCAAACAATTGTCATACGATGCTTCATTCCTGTTTAATCTATAGCTACTGTATACAAGCCAATATAACAGCTGATGTCACAATTTGACATTGATCATGAGCCAGTGGTTATGTTGTGTCAGTTTAAAGTGGATGTATATAGAAGTTTAGATATATACATGTACTCATGTAAAGCACAAAGGTAATTCATCCAAGAAAAGTCACAAATGACTCTTATGAACATTTGCCAAAACAAAACATTTGTTGTTGGGGTTTTTTGGAGGGGGAGGGGCAGGCTGACTTTTTTTGGAAGGGTATTTTTGTCCAATGATACATGGTTATTGACCTGTGGAAAGTGTCATTACATCGCTGCCATGGTAGAATTGGTAGTAAACTTAGGATATTGAGAATAAATCATGATAGTTTTCACAAGTTAGATATTCAGTTTCTCCCTTTTGTTAAAGAAAGAAAAAAAAATAGAGTTTCTTTCCGTATGAAATGCAGGATTTGATTTTTCTGATCATTGAAATTTGATAATTGATGTGAATGTTCTTTTCTTTTCAGGTTGTAATAAATTGTGCAATTTTACGAACATTAAAATACAATCAAGCCACAGTAACATTCCACCAATGGAGGGACAACAAACAGGTGTACGGATTAAACTTCAGCTCACGAGAAGATGCCGACAGTTTTGCTCAAGCTATGCTGACAACACTCGACTCTTTAAGTCAAGGTAAACATTTCAGCTTACTTGACCGTGGACCATTTCATTATTTACCAGACAAATATAATTAATGATATCGGGATATTTTAGCTCACCTGGTACAAAGTACCAAAGTAAGATTATGTGGTGGAGCCTTGTCCATCGTCCATTATTCAATAACTTCAACATCAAACAACATCCCCTCCAAAAATATTAAGCAGAATTCAACCAAATTTATGTGGTTCCATGTGGTCATGGGGACAAAGATAAAAAGGTCTGACCTGCTTAAGAGCTGAGGGATGGGGTCAAAAGGCATCAAATGGGCAGATTTGCTATGGAGGTCATACAATCAAACCTGATAACAGCCCAGATGAAACACTGAATGACAGGTGATCAATACAGGCCCACTGGACCTCTTGTTTTAAAGATAGGCCAATGTGTTGTTGTTTTTACAGAATTTTTGTTAAAATTACGTATGTGATGTTAAACCAAGGTAAGACCAAAGTAAAATGTTCTGTACAGATCAGAATACCCATGTCATAATCAGAAATGTAGGACCCACGGTAAGGGGAACTATTAAGTTAAACTACATGTATAATATTATCATTGTCACGACTCAAAAAACATTTGTTTATGTCCTTTTTCAAAAGACATGTTCCATAAAAATCACATGTTGCCATTATACATTCTACAGAATTATAGTTGTTCAAAACTTGAATGTTTGAAAACAGAAATAAAAAAGAAAATGTTGCTATCTAGGAATTTTAACTGCAAAGCATCGAAACTGGTGTTCGATTTGTGGGCCGCAAACCCAAGGAAAAGTTAAATTGACAGGGAGAGTAACTTTAAGCCAGAAAACTCCTTCAGGGTTGATTAATCTTATATATAGAAGGGAGACTACTCCATATTGAAAAAAGTCCTGAGTGGAACTCTTCTTCTTTGTGATTATAACAAATGTAGTGGTACTCTTTACCTTAGCTCATTCATCCCTTCATTATTTAACTGGACTTGCCCAATCTTTGATTTGGTAATTAAGGTTCAAATGTGACTTCAGGAGTGAATAGGTTATTAATTACAGTACATTTAAAGAGGATAGACATGTACTCGAATAGACAAAGCATTGTTCTGGACATAGAGTACAATTATTACATTTCCCATTATCATTGCACGTCATAATTAGTGGGGGGGGGGGATTATAAATCACTTATATTCTGAAAGTTCATTGAATTTGACAATTTCTGTTTTGTTGTTGTGGACTTTGAAGCCAGATCTAGAGAGAACTTGGACTAACAAGGTCCTGCTTCATTTCATATTTGTAAACAATCATCTGGGTACAAAAATTACTAGTGGAATCTGTAAACATTTACAGTTTTAATACTCCCAATAGATTTTACACAATATCAGCTTCAGTTTCTCAAACTAGAAAACTTCATAGATGAAAGACTGCAAACGAAACGTGACGAAGGGTATGTTTATATTGATACTTAAAAAGGCTAATTTAAGATAGAAGTACACTTACGTCTAAGATTATTGGCCTGTAATCAGCGTTCTACGACTCCAGGGACATTCAAGTCTCTATAATTTGGAAGGTATACAGTCTGAATGTTAACACTGATAAAGGTTTGATTGATGGCTTCAAAGAGGAGGTAAAGATAAACTTTGGGGCCCGATTGGGGCCTGATTGATATGGTTTATAGACCTGGTTTGAGGTTTCTTACAGGAGTTATGGACTCTGTTTGGGGGATGCTCATTGGAACCTGATATTTCTGTCTTATCTTTAAAGTCCCTGGGTCAGTTTCTTGGGGGAGGAGCAGAAACATCATAGACACAAAAACAAATCAGCTGCAAGAAGGGCCAAGTAACCTACCTGTTACTTAACTGGTGGCGTAGACAAATTTGTATCAGTCACTGCTGGCATTCGTCCATTAAAAATTTCATTTAGTGATCATTTTCATCAACCTCTGTCAAGATCTCGACTGAAGGCTTCTATTTTCTCTTTGATTTGAAGTCGCAAGATTTCTCCAATGTTAACAGCTGAAACTTCTGATACAGACAGTTTAAAACTTAATAAAACCAAGTGGTAATTTCGCTAAACAAACAAAAAATGTGTACGTGGTAGAAAGGATGTACAATATATCACAACTGCATCTTAAACAAACGTTTTTGCAAATTCAATTTTTTATGTACTTTGTAGATTGAGAGAGAATATTGGGTGTTTTCTGTTAATACTGTGAAATAACTGATTTTCATGGGGTTTTAATTAGTTTATAACATGGGTAAACTTCATCCACAAATCCATATGTCTACAAAATAATTTACAAGTTTCATATAATGCAATTTTCTGTTTGAGTGGGTACTCGTAATCCACAAATTTAGTTATCCACAAAATAAAATGATTTTTTGTTGGGAAACTACAAAATTAGGGGCCCACGAAAATATCTGATTTTACAGTACTTCAGCTATTTAATTAATATTATATCTGACGCACACACAAAAAGGTTATTGTACCGATACTTCTGTGATACATATATTGATTATATCAAAAACATTTGTTCAAACAAAGCCGTCTTCAGGGATTGATTCATAACTGATCCCGAACAAAGTCGTGAACAAGTGTTTGGTACACGAGGACCTGATGAACTCATTTGTTTGATCATTTGATGGATGACGTGAAACCTGTTTTATACTTGGAAACTAAATTCTTTGAAATACTTGACTAGCTATCAATCAGCTATAAATTAGGTCACATTAGCTATGTACCGGAAATTGTTATCTATCATAAATATATAAACAACAACGTAAAGATAGGCTTGGACTGATATAAAAAAAACAAATGTTATCAGTACATGTATAATAAACTCATTATCATCTTGACATGTACAAAACTTGGTGGACTTGGGATTTCAATCACAAAATATATTTGTTCAATGTTACTCCTGCCCCTTACTAGGACTTTTATGATCAAGAAACCATTTTTTTTCGTAAAAAATATGTTTATAAGTAATTATCTGTTTCCTGTCTCAAATCAAGGCTTATATTAACAAAAAGTGTTATTGTTAAAAATACCACAGTTTTAAGTTGAACCATCATGATCTTTATCATTACGGTGTTAAATTTATAAAATTCTTTCGCTAAATCTTACAGAAATATGTTGTTTTTTTCCGTAGATGACAATCATAATCCAAATCGGATTGTGACATTCTCTTTGTTTTTCTTTGTAAATTTAATGTAATTTTTTATAAAATTTTATTTGCGTAAAGCTGACTGAACAAATGAATTGTTATCTATCGTATCTTGTAATAAATGGTGATAAAAATGTCTATAAAGGATGCAAACAGGAAGTTTGACCAGGAAACAATCGGAGGATTACTCACTTACATAAATACACATCAAAACTTGTTATTACAATTAGCCATAGATCAATAGCTTATTATTCCATCCGGATCTTACCCTGACAGCCTAGACAATGAAAAAAATCTCCAAGGGATTTCAAACACTGAAGAAGAAATATTCGGGTAAAAATCATATAGAGTTTTTATAGAGTTATTTTATTTAATAATCTACTTTCGTTATGTTATCAATACACTGTATTGAACTTTGGTGATTTTGATTTTTGTAATAATCAGATTATCGAACATCAATCTGCTGCCGGTCATTACACACAGTAATTTTTCAAGTTGTTATGAGTTGGTTGTTTTTTCGAATTTTATTTTCCCAATTTGATCTCAAAAGATTAAATTTTGTTGTACCTTATATGCTGGAATGGTAAGCTAATGTTTGAATTCTTCCACAATTTATTACTTCACAGCACTATAATCGCCTTTATTGACAAGTAATGTGTCATTTCCTGCAGCCAAAATCAAACCATGGTGAAAACAAATGTTTAATGGCTAATGACTATAATGGATATTTCTCATAGTTGTTACCTTTTAAATAAATTACAGTAACAATGACTGGATAACACCCATTTGAAACATGTAAACTTTCCATTCAGCTTCAAGTTGAAGTTTTCCAGTCATCTGTACCGTGAATTATTACTTGTACTCGATTACTGAGTTCCATAAGGAGACCAGGGGCCTGGGTGGCCAAGTGGTTCAGGCGTCTGACATTCTGCTACCACTAGCCCTCTACCACTGGGTCACAGGTTCGAGGCCTACGTGGGGTGGTTACAAGGTACTGGCCATAGATCGGTGGTTTTTCTCCGAGAACTCCGGCTTTCCTCCGCCACTAAAACCTGGCACGTTCTTAAATGACCATAGCTGTTAATAGGACGTAAAATACAAACAAATCAAACCAAACCACAAGGAGACCATGGAATGAGTTGGGGCCTGCCTAACGTTTTGAACTTACATATACAGTAGATCTTCATCTCCTTGTAAAGAGCTTTATTTACATGGAATTCATGAGTCAAATACTTACATTTTTTCCATTCTTTAGAAAATTCATTTATTTTACATAAAGTAACTTATAATAGCTTTTCAGAACATTATAGGAAATGATTCGTTAGATAAAATAATGCTTGTATTGTTAAAGAAAAAATAAATAATGTGCAAGTTATTGCTTTACCCTTTCTAGTATCCCTTCTGAATCTCTGTCTTGTGTACAATAGGAACTCCAATATAGCACATAGTTCTAGATTCCATTGGCCCATTGTCTACAAGTTCATAAATCCAAAGTACTTAGACTGTGTAGGGTATTAAATCTGTCTTTTGATGTGTATGATGTTGCTTTATGTTTCAAATTCCTTTATCAATACCGACCTTGATACCACCAGAGAATGGGTGACAACCTCAGCTTAGCTGTAGATGGATACTGATTCTCAACACTGACTCTTTCACAAATATAATGGTACCTGTATCTGGGAGGGAAAGGATTGATGTATAATTAGTAGTAATTTGTTACTTCTTGTCTCCTTAAAACTGAATAATAAACTTACGAGAATGAAAAAAAATGTGTGTCTAACTTTTAAATAATAATGGTCATAACAGATATTTCATAACCTTGAAGTACAAAAATATTATGCTGATCAATCTTTGTAACTTTACAGTTATGTAATGGATCTGGACTGGGTTTATCACCAGTGACCAGGTAGCTGAATTGGTAGCGTGTCTGTTTAGAGCTTGGAGGGTTCCGGGTTTGAATCCCGGTCTGGTCCTGTATTTTTCCTCTCCAGTTACAGGCTGTCTTACTGCTGGCCCAGCTACAGGGAATACATCAGTTATAGCGATAGACAAGGTGTTGTAGTACGTAGTAGGATTATTTTTACAAGATTTGGGATTATAAGCTCTGCCAGATTTAACAGGAACTGGTACTGCCAGCTGAAATGATACTTAAAAGAAACATTTGAATCATTGATTTCTCAAAAACTGTAAAAAAATATTCATGTTTTGGAATCAAAATCATCAATCTTTAGACAACCGTACCAATTTTTCTGCCCATATTCTTCAAAAACTGTAATTGTTTCTCCCCTTTATAAAACCTTTTGCTAGTATTTCTGACCAATTGAAACCAGTTGAATGTCACTAACTAGGTCATACATTCAACATCGGAGTCATAGCTGTAGAGTTTGGTAATGATGGTGGGAAAGTTGGCTTGTCTGCACATTCCTGTTTTAACCAAATTTCATTAACTCATTCACCCCTGAAGATACATTTGAACTCTTCCAATTCAAAGGTTGGAATAGTTCATTATGAAATTTCAAGGGTGTACGAGTTAAATCACTTGTATTTGGTTTGCACATACCTGGTACACATGCGAGCTCCACTAGTACGCATGTACTACCATTCAGACTCCGGGCAGGCCTATTACTGAAGGTGAGCACCGTGTGCAGTATTCTTGTTTACGGAAATTTGATTTCAATGGTTGTATTTATACCCTGCACTGGATACTTGAAAAACAACTATTAAAACCTAGTGAACTATGGTTTATACACAGAAAATAGAGTTCCAATCATATCCTATATAGATATGTACTTCCTTAGTTTTATAGTCATGGTGGCCAATTAGTCGTTATAATAATACAACTTGTGTTGATAATTAAAAACCAGACACGGAAGGAAAACTTCTAGCTACGTATACAGGTCAGTCCCAGCTTTATGTATACATGTCTGTGGTGAGAGTCTATTTTCAGTAATGAAGGCCACAAAAACAAAAATAACTTACCAGGATTTTGTGGGGGGGGGGTTAGGTGATTTTTGAATGAATACTAATGTTGCATCCCAGAGATTAGGGAATGAAAAAGCAGCACAATATTATCTACTTATCAACATCATTGGTGACTGCAGTCAGCTGTTATAGGTCAAGAACACTTGTTGATATAAGTGTTTGAACCCCACACTTGTGTTGGTAGGGATAGGTTCGTCGCATCATCCGGAACAGTTTGTGTCAGTCTTTTTACAAATATCTAACAAACTGTTTACTTTGGGCTGCCCGCAGTGAAAGCATTACAGTTTGGTATGACGGAGTGGAAGACCTGATTTGTCCAGGAGAACATTGGTGGAAGTCATGTGTTCTTGTCCTAGCTTCTCTTCTGGTTCCACATCCAAGTGCCTTCAGAATTCGGTGTTCAGCTGGTGGAGGGCAAACCACATACTTCCTTGTCAAGTTTTAGAGGATATGACAAACTTTCACCATTTAAGTTGTGTCACTGTGGTCATTATTTGCTGCGTTATCATGTGAAATAAAAAGAAGAAAAGAAGAGGCATACCATATATTCAAGAAACCACTGCTATCCTCATTTTTTTTTGATAATAACCAAGACAATTTATGTACAAACAACAAACATTTTCCTGCCTCTAGAGTAGTTACCAGAAAAGTAGAGTTGTCTCATAATAACCAAACAAGACGCGAGGTGAGGGCCTCCAGAAAAGTAGAGTTGTCTCATAATAACCAAACAGGACGCGAGGTGAGGGTAGGCCACGCTTTAAAACTTCCTCTTTATAAACCTGACATTCATCCTACAGTTACTTATATATATACACTTGTATGGTAGGGTGTAATCTAAGTTTTCTTCCCCTCGCCTTGTCATATTGTTGTACTTGTATAACTGATAAAACATTTATCAAGGAGGAAGTTAATTCATTCTTGCATTACTCTATACATTTGTATATGATATAAAGCATTATAGACGTAGCATTTTGAAAAGTTGAGTCTCCAAGAAAAGATACATTTAGTAATACATACAGGAATATGAGACAAATCTGTGAGAAAATTTGCGATTCTTTGCAATTTTTTCCCGTTTATATCCCTTCCATTTTATGGGGATTGGATGGGGAGGGAGACATATAGTGTTACTTTTGGAAGTATGAGAATACGTCTGATGAGTTCATATTTCAGGGTCCATACGTCAGATGAGTTCATATTTCAGGGGCCAAAACCCGGGAACACAACTCTTCTGCTCTTCATTCCATACCAATATTAAACGTTATATCGTCAATGTATACGTAGTAGAACTGTAAAAAAAAACATTAGTTTATGCGTAAAAATGTACGTTTCTTTCCTGATTTTTTTGGTACAGCCGGTCCACAGTGCTAGCTGTTGCTATAATAGTTTGATATAGATCACCAGTACTGCTGTACTACATGTTTATTGAAGAACACTTGTTGATATAAGTGTTTGAACCCCACACTTGTGTTGGTAGGGACAGCCGAGCCTCATAAATCCAGCCACCATTGATTCCGTTGTCCCACAGCAATTCAGTGATTTCTTTTTTGCTCAGTTTTACTGGCGAATACAGGCTGTTTCCCCTAGCTAAAACGTGCCTTATTTTGAAAAAATGACCAAAAACTGAGAAATATCTTCCCAATTTCAATACAAATAATGCTATGTTTTCCCCAATTCATTAAGGAACGGGCTGTTGTAAAATTTAGGTAACAAAAACACTGAGCATATATCTAGCTAGTGTTTTAAGGGACCGTTTTCCAAATAGTCCAAATAATCCTGCAGCCATCACACTTCTGCTGGGAAGGAGGCCCCTCTGAATCCCCATCGTGTAGTCAATGGTACATATAACCGGTATAGGTTACAGGTCTGGTTTACGCACAGGGCCATTAGGTTGTGCTGTATTTGGACAATGATGTTTTTCTCAGAATTTAGGAGAAGATATTTATTTATTTGTTCAATATCTTTTTCTCTTTGATAGGTACCGGTGCTCCTCCGCCGCCCCCACAACAGCCAATTTACAACCAACCAAGCGTGCCCAACCCCAACGGACCTGAGCAAAGGTAAGTGAAATACACCTCCCTTTTGCTGTCTTAATTTTTTTAGAGAAAACACAGGAATCTTGAATCTTTTAAATACCTACTGAAGTTTCAAAATATTGAAAAAAACACCTCTATTTCAAAAATACATTTGTGATGAAAACGAACAATTCATGTGAAATAGTTATAGACAAGACTCATAAAATAGAAATTTTGATAATTTGTTTTTGTTTGAAACAGATGTATAAGTTTTACCACAGCTCACTAGCCTATGTTGTGTAAAGTTATAAAAGTGTGGAGTGTTACATGTCTGTATTTTGTGTAATCCTTACAGACATTCTGGAGGTGGTCATGTAAGACAACCATCAGGGGGAGGTAAGTCATGCATACACAAAGTTTTATTAAAACAGCTTCCTTCTACTAGGTCACACATTGATGAAGGGTCAAATTTGACCTGACCATTGATCTGCCTTACCCCACCATCTTGAATATTTCCATGCCTGTTAAGCCTACAACAAAGCCTCGATAGGCTCTTTCCTGCCTAATAATGCCTATATATTTGGGGCCACCTTCATTTGGCTATTTATAGAAATTTCCTGTAAACTTTTAGAAGAAAAAAGCTCCAATCTGTTAAAATGTATTTTGATACTATGCTTCTAGCATATTACACTAACATTTTCACTTTCTACTTTTCCTTATAGATGCATTATATCAAAAAGGAGTCAAGAAAACATCTTCTTTAAAAATAATATGTGAGACAGAAAACAAACAATGATCTACTATTCTAGTAAGATTAAACATTCTGTTATTAAGTATGACCTGTGTACTAAATGATTGTTTTCAGCCCCGAGAGATTTCAGCCATTATGAGGCTCAGCCACCACAACCACAACAGCCCCCACAAGCCCCGAAAGTTCCAAATGCTCCTCAGGCCCCAGCTCCACCAGCCCCTCCTCCAGCCCCTGCTGCCCCTCCAGCCCCTGCTGCCCCTCCTGCCCCTCCAGCACCTGCTGCCCCTCCTGCACCTCCAGCCCCCCCAGCACCGCCTTCTGGAGGAATTCCCCCAGCCCCACCTGGTGCGGGGCCACCTGCCCCACCCCCTCCGCCGCCTGTGGGAGGAGGTGGAGGGGCACCTAGTGCGTCATCAGGAGGAGGGGCAGGAGGGCTAGCAGCCGCGTTACAAGCTCAGCAACAGAAGATGAAGAAAGTTGACACAGTAAGTACCTACACTGAAACAACAGTGAACAGTCACTAGTGTAGGTGGAACGCCACTAATAAGATATCTACAGCATTTCCAAACGTCACCCCTTTTCAGCCCTGAATTTCCTGCTATACATCAATGGTCTCATTCAAGTGTGCTGTCATCCTATTGATTTCATGAGTCAGGAAGTTTTTCTGAAAGGTTTAGAAGCTTACTGAAGTGTCCGTGACATTCATACATATGCAGTCTCTCTAAATGGATATCGGGGTCGGTGTCTTGGCAATACAAAATACAGTATACAGTTACAAGTTGCCGAAGTAGCGATTGGAATTCTTTATATAGACTTCTTGAAATAAATTTACAAACAATGAACAATCTTCCATGACATATCACTTTATCTGAATAAAAACAAAATCCATTTTCAGGGAAAGGTTGGATCATACCAGGTCATTAAATTCTATGATTTGCATATTAATACCTCAGTTTTGGACTGGGAGACCGTACTTCCTGTGTATGGTTTCATGTTTGTGTGTTGCTAATTATAAATCTACCATTTTGCACACTCTAGCAGGCTGACCGATCAAGTGTAGGTGAAAAGAGCCGATCCAGTGGAGGAGGAGGTGGCGGATCAGGAAGTGGGGGAGGCGGTGACTTTATGAGTGAACTTCAAAAGCGATTAAAGAAGTCTAAAGCACCACCAGCAGCAGCAGCCAGTGTAAGGAACCAATTTCTCTCATTTCCCTGTGTGTAAGATAGAGCTTTCTCCCACACCTGACAGATTTATCTCCCGTTTTGCCGGTGCTAGATTTATCTGTCTCCGCCGTAGGGTTGAGACGGGGGGATTCCCCGATTTATAACAATGATATGACGTCACTGCAACAATACAATGACGTCACTGCAACAATCTATCAACGTCACGTCAACCCTGAATTTAGCATGTAACGTTATCATTACATTGTGTATATGATACACATTGGGAAAAACAGGGTAAGAGAAAAAGAATCATTCACCCCCTTGTGGGTAAGATAAAGCCTCGTGTTTGGCAACATAAGAATCTTCCACCTCGGGTTGAGATTCCCCTATCTCACCCCAAAGGGGGTGAATGATTCTATTAGTCCAGGGTAAGTAAGGGGTGTAAGATAGAGCTGTCCAGGGTAAGTAAGGGGTGTAAGATAGAGCTGTCCAGGGTAAGTAAGGGGTGTACATATTACACCCCTTTTCATGTGACGTGACATCACATCAGCTCAACAATGACATGACATCACAAATGTGGAAATATCTGATGCCGCAATGCAGAAAAGGCGACGTAATGAAATTAAAACCTTTTACGATGTATTCACCTTCTCCATAAGGAGATTTTGATTAATTTTTGTTGTAAACTTCGTTGGAAATATGGGGTATACTAAATCTGACTGACAGATTTGTTTTTGTCTAAAAAGCTCGGGGGAAAGCTTATATTCTTTCAAAATGGTAGCAAGTCCAAATGCATTTTCATGGTTTCTGAGCTAATTTCGGTAGTTGGAAAAGCCGAGGCTTACCAAATTTGAAAACCCCTCTGTTAGAATTTCCCGATCCTACACCCCTAGGCATGAAAGAGACTTATAATACCCACTCCCCACCCACAAATCTGAACAAATTTGCCTCTCTTTTTAATTGATTTTTTTTTAACTTGATATCTTCGAAAGTGTTTGAATACATATGCCAATAGTAAATAATTTTCTTTTTAACGTTATGGTTTACAGAAATAAATTATTGACTTTTTAGGATCCCAGTATCCAGACCCCGCCAGCAGGACCTGCCACCAGCAATAGACCGCCGCCCACAAAAGCAACCAATGGGAAGACGCTATCAAATGGATCTGATTCTCCACAGATGAGTAGAAAGTGAGTTACAACAGAGTTATCCCCCTTACATATGTAATTCATTGATGATGAAGATGACTGAATCGCTCATAGCATGGTTTGCTTAAGAACCATTCAATTTTCACCTTATTTTAGATATTTGATCAGTTTCTAAGTGTATTTTCAATTGTTTAACATCATCCTGAGAGGTAAAAAATAAGAAAATAAAAATTTAATACTGTATGACATTTCAAAGTATTCACATATTTCATATTTTCCTACATTAAGATGACAACTTAGCCTAGATATATCTTTTCTGAAGTAAAAGTGACTTAGCACATGGATTTACTTTTATTTTACATGCAGAGCTAATAAACTATGGAATATTTAATATGACTGGAATTCATATGGGTTTTCAGAAAATAAATAATAAAAAAAATAATTATACACATTTGAAATTTATTCTTTTAGTTAAAGTTGTTTGAACAAAAAGGTTTGTAGGGAATTTGTTTGTTATGAAGAAAGCATAACATTATTTATCTGACAGAACTGTTTAATTTTCTTTCTGTAGGAAGCCATCATTTTTGACAAAATCTGACAGGTACAGAGATATATAGATTCATCTCATGATATATATAACTGTGGTCTATTGCATGGTCAATCATTGTCTAGTGATTCTTTCCTCGGATCTCCGTAATGTGTGCCGTACAGTATCGGCAGTCTGAGCATGGTCTAAGTGGTGTGTAGAATATCTGTCTGTCGACTATAGCCTTGTCCTCTCTAAACTCGTCTCATTCAATCTCTCCCAATAAACTTGTAATTATACAAATGTCAATATTTCCGATGAAATAGCAGCTCCTGGTATAGATGTACATGCTCTTTTGAATCTTTTTTTTTCATTTACATTTCAAATCTGGTTGAATTTGCGAAAATGAAGTCCAAATAGATGAAAAATAACAGTGCTTATTTTTATCAAATCAAAGTATTATATAATAAAGCATAAAATGATATGATTTTGACATCATACAATACAGAGTAACCTTTAGTACCATACATTGTCAGGGCAGGTGAAATATACAAAACACTAAGATATAATGATATACGATGTCAGGGCGGGTGAAACCATACAATACACTAAGATAAATTGATATACAATGTCAGGGCAGGGGAAATATACAATGGCAGGGCAGGTGAAACCATACAATCCACTAAGATATATTGATATACAATGCCAGGGCAGGTGAAATCATACAATACACTAAGATCTAATGATATACAATGTCAGGGCAGGAGAAATCATACAATACACTAAGATCTAATGATATACAATGTCAGGGCAGGGGAAATCATACAATACACTAAGATATGATGATATACAATGTCAGGGCAGGGGAAATATACAATGGCAGGGCAGGTGAAACCATACAATACTCTAAGATAAATTGATATACAATGTCAGGGCAGGTTAAATCATACAATACACTAAGATATGATGATATACAATGTCAGGGCAGGAGAAATATACAAAACACTAAGAAATAATGATATACGATGTCAGGGCAAGTGAAATATACAAAACACTAAGATATAATGATATCCGATGTCAGGGCAGGTGAAACCATACTATACACTAAGATATATTGATATACAATGGCAGGGCAGGGGAAATCATACAATACACTAAGATCTAATGATATACAATGTCAGGGCAGGTTAAATCATACAATACACTAAGATATATTGATATACATTGTCAGGGCAGGTGAAATATACAAAACACTCAGATATAATGATATACGATGTCAGGGCAAGTGAAATATACAAAACACTAAGATATAATGATATACAATGTCAGGGCAGGTGAAATCATACAATACACTAAGATATGATATACAATGTAAGTAAAAGTGATTTCATACATTATATTTGCCTTCATATGACTTCTCCACTTTATAACCTACCACATTCAGATGGCATTTATATAAGCTATGAACGCCATGAGCTGATTGTTAAAGTCATCATTGTTATGTTTGAAACCACTGACCCTCCCTGGGCAATATGAACGCCAAATGGACAAAGGGAAATCCAATATGAAATGCTTCATTCATTTTGCCTTTATGTCCAGTTGGCATTCATACTGGCTATGATTGAAGTGAAACACAGTGATATACCATGTAAGGGGACATGACTTTATACAATACAGTGAAAAACAAGGTTTGGTCTGATACATATTGGTAAGAAAAAGTAGCCAACAAGATCTCTCACTCTTTCCAAATTCACTAGCATTTAAGGTGTGTGATTTTCCCATTTTTATAGGGGAATAAGTGTTGATGTGTATGATTCACAATTGAATGGTGTAATTCTACAATGACATGCCAAGCCGTGGCTACATCTCTCTCTACAGCAATGATACGTAGCTACACTTAGATATCTGCAAAAAAGTCAGTCGAGATATTGGAAAAAAATTGATAGCTCATGTCAAATGGTTAATGTTCTCATTTATAATGTGTATGAAACATAAATAAGTTTTTGTTTTTAATATAGTTTAGTACAAGGACAAAAACCATGATGAAAAGTTGATAACTTTGAATAACTTGAGAGAATAATCAATAATCTTTGGTCTTCTGTTAATGGTTCTAAATTGATAGTAAATATTTAAATTGAAACATTAAAATCAAAAAGATTCTTTAACTTTTCCTGGGAAGACTTTGAATTAAAGCAAAATGAAGTAGGAATGGTAGATACTAGATATTAACTGGACTTTTTCTACACAATCTCAAAAACCAAGAAACCAAATTACAGGTTAACTGTAGGCACATAGCAACTTAAACTGGGTCTCCCTGACAACTAACCGAAAATTTATGACACTATTCTTGGTTTTTTTCTCCAGGAGATTAAACTCTTTACCTGGCCAGGATACGACGGGAGTTTCTAACGGACCAAGCAATTCGGATCTAGAGTCTCTCAAACAGGAAATTCTTACAGAAATGAGGAATGAAATGCATAAAGTCAAGATAGAAATCATAGAAGGTGAGAAAAAATCTTTTGATGTGATGTAATAAAGAACCATTATTAAAAATTTATGAAAAATGGTTACATTAATACCATTGAACAGACAATTTCTAAAATTGAAAATTGAAAACTGTACTCTAAAAAATGGATGGCTGCTTTGTGAGCAAAAGCTAATTATGAAAGCAATGAAACTGAATTGGCAATTTTTTGTCATATATATATTTTATTATTATTTAACATGTTTAACAAAATCACTCACACCAAGCTTAAGGTAGTTATTGATGTAAATAATTTAAAATGATACCAGAAAAATTATGGTAAATCCTAATTTGAGCCAACATGGCATCCAATATAAACAGGACAAGATGACAAGAAAAAGCTGAAAAAAAATCTTGATTTTTACAAAAATAAATAAATAAATGAATAGGAGAAAAGTGGATTTACATGCCATATTAAGCTATCAATTCCCCCCTCCCCCTCAACTTTATTCATTAATGTCAATTTCCAAAAACCATGGGGAAATCTGGTGTAGATAGTCCGGGAAAATTAGTGTTAGATATTAAAGGCTGTTAACGTTTTCCTTTTGCAGCAATTCGACAAGAGTTGGGCCATAGATAAAGCACAGTGTGATAGTTGTCTGCCTGGTGTGTGTGAACTTGGACTGCATTCTCTGGACGATTTACCTCTTTGGTGCAGCGTACCACTTACACAAGGTGTTAACAGGCCCCGCTGGCCTCTTCTACTGACCAAACTCATCGTTTCCATGTAACCAGTATAACCCCGATACTAAGCTTCATGTTTCAACACCTCTGTGATCAATGCTGACACTACAAAGTGGCGAAATCTAGGGGATTACGAGGCTTTATTTTCATACGTACCTTGTGTCAGATTTACGATATGTTTCGGAAAGAAGATGATGGAAAGTTCCGACATTACCACCTACTTCGGTTTGTTGGTTTAGAACAAATTATTCATTGTATAAATGTGTAATGATCTGGACTAGGTGTATCATTGGGATACGAGGATTGGATGTAAACAGTGTTTATTTTAGACAATTCCTTCTTGCTTTGCACTATTTTTGGCTAAGCTGTAAACTATTTTGAATTGGATTAAATCATCTTGACTAGAGTAATTAAGTTGTGAAATTTGAAACTGATATTACAGCATTCTTAAATAGCAAAGGTTATTAACGAAAATATTCTAGAAATGAAAAAGGAGTTTTTACAGTTAATTTGTCGTAGCCCAGATACAGTGGGAATACTAGTTACTCAGTTTCACAGTTGATATTCAGGTTCGGATATAATATTTATAAAGAAATTTGGCAATATCGGTGTATATGTAAAGATTTGTAGCCCGTCTGGAGGCGACTGTAACAAATGTACAGATGTGTATAACGTAATTATGTTAACGTATAAATGATGACAGACCAATATTTATTAGATATTCATTGTTCGATTCTTTTTAATACTGGTAACTAATGAAATATTTCCATTGTTTCTAATTCTATATCCATTTTTTGCCGTCACATTTTGTTTCTATGTAGTAATTACTAGACATACGAGTATGAGTGGGATATGAGTGCTGTATGAGATGTTACAAAGATTGCCTGTTGAGTGTGTGACACAAGCGAGCCAAAAAACTTTGTCATTTATAACTATTAATTAGATCTTAACACAATAAGACTTGCCCTGTCACTTCATCAGATTTTTTGTGTCGCATGACCAGATTTGTTGTGTCACATGACTAGATTTGTTGTGTCACGTGACCAAATTTGTTGGGTCACATGACAAGATTTGGTGTATCACATGACCAGATTTGTTGTGTCACATGTTCAGATTTGTTGTGTCACATGACTAGATTTGTCCTGTCACATGTTCAGATTTGTTCTGACACATAATCAGATTTTTGTGTCACATGACCAGATTTGTTGTGTCACATGACTAGATTTGTCCTGTCACATGATCAGATTTGTTGTGTTACATGACTAGATTTGTTGTGTCACATGACTAGATTTATGGACAGATTTGTTACATCATGAGTAAATTGAGGACATCAATGATACTGCTGTTCTAAGTATTAACTATCACCGGAGATGAATAGTTCTTTTTTATATTGAAAAGTATCTAGTACAAAATGATGAATATTTTGACTTGATATATATATACAATGATCTGTTGATGTTTTTATGGTTATACGTGTAAACCCTAGATTAGAGACCAATCACTGACAGGAATAATTTCTGTCTAAAACACAATTCATTATGAGATAAAATATATTGATATTTATGACAAGTATCAGTTTTATGTGTTTATTCCTGTATATCAGAACAACACTTCATTATGAGAGCACAAGTTGTCTCCCTTCCTTCTTATCACAGATTTAGTAGAAATAGTGTTGTATGTCTGTTTTTCTTTGTAAACAAATACAAGTGCTGAATCACACGAGGACATCAGTAACATTGACCCCATCTTTGTAGACGTCGGGGGGACACGATACACTGCTACTGATTTCCATTAGAGAATGACATCGGGAGATATAATTAGAAAGTTTGTAAGATGTTGTGTGATTGTTATTTAGTGTTGATTAGTGAAACAATGGAAAAGTGCAATCTGAGTAGAAGGAGTGAAGTGATGTGTTCATGTAGGTAATCTGAAATAGATTTTATAATGGACTGAATGGAACGCTGTATGGGCAATATTGACACGTGTGATCAATGGTGGTTATACCAAGGGGAGATAATCACGTTGACACGTGTGATCAATGGTGGTTATACCAAGGGGAGATAATCACGTTGACGCGTGTGATCAATGGTGGTTATACCAAGGGGAGATAATCACGTTGACGCGTGTGATCAATGGTGGTTATACCAAGGGGAGATAATCACGTTGACGCGTGTGATCAATGGTGGTTATACCAAGGGGAGATAATCACGTTGACGCGTGTGATCAATGGTGGTTATACCAAGAGGAGATAATTACATTGACGCGTGTGATCAATGGTGGGTATACCAAGGGGAGATAATCACGTTGACGCGTGTGATCAATGGTGGTTATACCAAGGGGAGATAATCACGTTGACGCGTGTGATCAATGGTGGTTATACCAAGGGGAGATAATCACGTTGACGCGTGTGATCAATGGTGGTTATACCAAGGGGAGATAATCACGTTGACGCGTGTGATCAATGGTGGTTATACCAAGGGGAGATAATCACGTTGACGCGTGTGATCAATGGTGGTTATACCAAGGGGAGATAATCACGTTGACGCGTGTGATCAATGGTGGTTATACCAAGGGGAGATAATCACGTTGACGCGTGTGATCAATGGTGGTTATACCAAGGGGAGATAATCACGTTGACGCGTGTGATCAATGGTGGTTATACCAAGGGGAGATAATCACGTTGACGCGTGTGATCAATGGTGGTTATACCAAGGGGAGATAATCACGTTGACGCGTGTGATCAATGGTGGTTATACCAAGGGGAGATAATCACGTTGACGCGTGTGATCAATGGTGGTTATACCAAGGGGAGATAATCACGTTGACGCGTGTGATCAATGGTGGTTATACCAAGGGGAGATAATCACGTTGACGCGTGTGATCAATGGTGGTTATACCAAGGGGAGATAATCACGTTGACGCGTGTGATCAATGGTGGTTATACCAAGGGGAGATAATCACGTTGACGCGTGTGATCAATGGTGGTTATACCAAGGGGAGATAATCACATTGACGCGTGTGATCAATGGTGGTTATACCAAGGGGAGATAATCACGTTGACGCGTGTGATCAATGGTGGTTATACCAAGGGGAGATAATCACATTGACTTACACCCCTGACATGGATTATCGGCGCTCAAAGAAACAACAAAGTTCTTTCCAGGGCTTATTGTTAGATGAAATTAGAAGGTTCAGTGATCCTGTATATTCAGTTTTAACTTGATAACGTGGAACTGCTAGCCTGCTGCGCCAGGTCTACGTCATAATTGCCAAAACCTCTTAGAAATGTCTGAAGCAGATGTTCAGCTCTGCCTGGTGTTTCCTAATCAAACAAATGCCATCTTGTCATTTCTACCAAATTGAAAGTCCAGGATTACATTTTATTGAGTAGTGGACACTTGACCATGTTGTTGCCCAAGCCTGTATTGTAAGCTAGAGCTGGACAATGGACACTTAATCTGTTTAGTTTGTCCTGGTCACTTTACCATCCTCAGGTAGGGTGCACAGTTACTGTAGACAAACAGACAGTATAAAGTATATGATAAAGAAAGGAGGTAAGATTGATTAAACAGAAGAAAATAACATGGCCTGCTTGATTGCTCAAACTATTGTTACCGATCTCAGAATTGGGGAATATAACAAATGATATAGAATAGGAAGCGTTTTAATCCATTACATGTAGTTTGTTGTTTTGGATGATATTCCATACCTGAGCAATGGATTACTGTTAATATGTGGCCAAAAAAAGGAAAAGAAGATAAACTATTTTGTAATATATTTGTAGTCATGTTTAATGCAAAAGTTCAACTAGGACGATTAAGTAGTATAAATAGTAAGTAACTGAATTTTTACCAACACTGAAATCACAATGACATACTGTAGTTTCCACTGCACAACCGACCTTTTTACCAACTCCACTGGGGAGGTGCTCTCCACTGTAGCAATGATAACGCGAAACCCTAAAAAACAGAACAGTTGTCTATAGCTTTAATCTATTCACATGAGAAAACTTTTTTTTTTTCATTCTAGTCGGCCCGATCTCTCAAGTCGGTAGATTTAGACCAAAAATAAAAAATCCAATTCCTATGCTTGTTATTTTACCATTTAAACTCATTCACCCCTAAAGACACATTTGACCTCTGCTAATTCAATGGTTGGAACAGTTCATTATGAAATTTCAGGGGTGAATGAGTTAATACTTGCTGTACAGAAATCCATACCGAGTGCTTGTGGGCTTTAAATCACGTAGTTATAGGATTCATTAGACCCAAATCATTGTTTTAACGCCCGCGTGTAGAATGTAGCGTACCTAAATCATCATTTTAATGCCAAAGTAGATGCTGTTGAAAACACTAGAGTAGATTTTACGAGATTGAAGTTGTCGTCAGCTAGTGGTGCCATTTTGTACCTGTAAAGTATCCGCTAAGTTCTTTTACAAGTACTGGTGGCTATTCTTGTAAAACATCTACCGCGTCCCAGGACTCCGGGGTTTGTTTAGCGGTACAGCTCAAAAAATGAAATTACCCAGTATTAATTTGCATAGAAGTACCGTAATACCTTGTAGGCAGGAAACACATTCACTGATAGAAGTGATTTATTTCGGTGCTGGGGTTAGGTAGATTTTTGTACGGGAATAGCCCTGACATACAACACAATTTATTTAGCAAGAACCCTGATCGTTGCTCGGGACAAATCTTGCTTTTGTTATCTTTATTATTACCCTGTACTGATTATATATACAGTGGTAGTATATTCAATTAATATTAATTATAATGAGCAATCGTTAACGGAGTGGGAGTTATGTTTGAAACCAAAGTGTCCTGACTAACTATCAGTTTAATCAATATCTCTTTCCATGATAATTTGTACATTGTACTTGCTTAACTCAGTCACCCCTGAAATGTCATAATGAACTCTTCCATCCTTTGAATTGGAAGAGCTCAAATGTGTCTCCAGGGGTGAATGAGGTAAGATTGTTTAAGAATTACTGGTAATTTTATTCCCTTCAGACAGTCAATGAGCTAGATTTTTAAGGTGTGAGATCAGAAGGGAATGGACATGTTCATTTTTTGTAAGTTTCTCCATGTTTAACTGTTAGACACCCATTGCTGATTCTGGTATTGATATGCCAACATTTGCTGAATCAGTTTGTAAATATTTTGTTTCATATGGAAATCTTCTTTTTTTTGTGCCATTAAAAAGATGCTTCGCTCATTTTATATTGAAGCAAAGACATATTTCATCTCATCATGGTTATAACTGAAATATGTATATTCATTTGTATTGCCCACACAAAGAACAAATCAGTTCACTTTCAATAGAAAAACTTCCTTTGTCATCGTATCTGTAACATAATATTTCCTTAAAGATAAAATCTCATTTTTTCCTTTTTGTCTTTTTCTTACAGCAATTCAGTTTCTTATGTTTACCCTCCTCTCTGTCATAAGTCATAATTGATTTTTATATTTCATTTATTCGAATGTTATGAATAAATCAGCAAGGAGATAAGATAGCCTAGTCCTGTTCCCCCTGATTTAACAAATAGGGTTTCTGGTATTGGTTATTCCACTATTGAGGTGGAAAATAAAAAGTGTGTTAATTTCGCAGCTGAAAAAAAAGAGATATAAAATTGAGGTCTTGCAGTGGTATGATTTTTCTTCATTTATACTTCTGAAAATGTTCCATTATCTCATTCTTTACCTAGTTTTATTAGCCCAGTATATAACTAGAAAGTAGAAAGCTATCTACCTCCTAAAGTGTGCCTCTCTCTCTCTCTAGCGTAGACCAGCTTACAGAAATCGTAATTTCAAAGCAATTTTGATAATATCCCAAAAACCAAGTTGACAATTTATGTTGTAAAATAATTAACCAAATTTCACATATGAATTAAAATTTACATATTCTAGCAATTGGTCATTCCCATACTCCCATATTTTATGCATATTTCAATGGAAATGGCGATTTTGTTTTTGTTTAATAGCAATTGATATTTGACAAAAGCTTCTGGAAATTGATAATGTGTATGGAGCTAGGTAAAGATCTTCATTTAGAAATGAGGATTGTGACGTATAGTTAGCATGTACCCGGTATTTCAATGAAAACAGCATTAACTGCCTTCGTACACGTAACTGTACTGTGAGGACGTTTGGCGCTATACATGGTTATATTTTCCATAATTGTTTATTTTCATGTCAATTACTAAGGATTAAACATGTCAATCATAGTTCTTCCACAGTAAGTTAGAACATGCATAAAGTCCTCAGCAGAATGTTCATAAATCAAAATTGCAGGCAATTTCTTCAAACCCCCCCCCCCTTCTATGTATCATAGATGGGAATGACCGGATGTCTCCGTCATTTCCTGTCTCTCTTCTCGTGGTCTGGCAGGGGATCTGTCTGGTTTTCGGAAGTTTTCTTACCCGATAAGAAACCTAAAGCTTCTGTTCCTATTATTAGGTGATATGTTGACATGTATTCTCCGTCTTTCTCTATATATTTATGCAGACTTTTACTTGAACAAATGCCATTAATGCATTTGCATGGTGGTGAAGTTTGATCGGATATTTTTGTGCGTGTTTATATTCAAACATATGAACTACTGTCAACATAAACAACAACAGAATTATACAAATATTTAGAAATACATACTGATTTCAATGATTTGGTGTTCCGGTGGTAAAATTGTTTGTGGAGAGATATCAATGTTCTATCCTGAAGTCAATCAAATAATCCATTTTGTTAATTGAAATGTTTGAATCCCACCCAAAGAATTTACTGACAGTTGAGGGGAATTAGACTTGCAAACGTCATGTTGCATCCGACAGGAAACTTGGTCAATGATATAACCAATAGTTACCTAGGCCGCATTCATTTATCACAATCCAAATGGTTAAACCAGAGTTGTTCGTTTATGAAATACGATAGGACCTATTAATCTGATGCTGCTTTCAGGCGAGCCTTGCAAGGCTTGCATAAACATTTGCAGGTCTGCCAGGATCTATACCTGAAATTGTTACATTTAAAAAATAGACTATGGTTGAACCGGATACGTGAAAGGGGCCCCAAGTCTTTGGTTAACACTAGCTGTCCAGTTTGTAAATATTACAGATGTTAGGGTACAGTAACTTTGCTGGCATAGTACAAAATCAAAGGGAGATAATACATTATACATTTCTCTAAATATTAATCAAATACGTACAAATCATCAAAATCCACCAATGTACAACTGATAGAGTTTATTTGTTACTTTGATCATTGTACTGTAGAAACGACTGATATATGTGTAGCTGTAAACAATCTGTAATGCAGGATATACATGCAGTCAATTTAAATTGTACTTTATGGAGGGCATTTGTTGGCCCTAATGACCTATCCTGTATTAGTAATAATGTACTGAATGTCTGAACAAAAACTTTACTGAACTCCGGGAATCTGCAATCAGATCAATACATGTTCTTTAATTCTGATAAAAATAATAATAATTAAAGTGGCGGTATTGAAATTCATTTCAAGGGGAATTAAGAAGTGATAATTAAACTTTCATTTTTTAGGGAAAAAAGAAAGTCTGATTTTCTCTCAATAACAGTAAGATAGCTGCTGTTTTAGTTACTAGGACCAGATTCTATGAGATAAACATGAACTTTTTGTAGATTCCAATCTGTCGGGTGTTCACACATATTCCATGTTTGCACTCATTTTGTTTCTTGCAAATCATGAACATTGGAGAATCAATTATACATGTATATTGTATTTATCTTGTATGTACAATAAACGTAATTGCTTTTATAAACCATTGTCTTATCTTGTCTTTTATTAAAATTCCATTTACATGATGAGCTCGAGCTTGATAATCTTTAGTAACTATATACTCCAGTCTGCCTAGATGTAACAGGGGAGTCTATATCCTCCAGTCTGCCTAGATGTGACTGGGGAGACTATAACCTCCAGTCTGCCTAGATGTAACAGGGGAGTCTATATACTTCAGTCTGCCTAGATGTAACAGGGGAGTCTATATACTACAGTCTGCCTAGATGTGACTGGGGAGACTATAAACTCCAGTCTGCCTAGATGTAACAGGGTAGTCTATATACTTCAGTCTGCCTAGATGTAACAGGGGAGTCTATATCCTCCAGTCTGCCTAGATGTAACAGGGGAGTCTATATCCTCCAGTCTGCCTAGATGTAACAGGGGAGTCTATATCCTCCAGTCTGCCTAGATGTAACAGGGGAGTCTATATACTCCAGTATGCCTAGATGTGACCGGGGAGACTATATACTCCAGCCTGCCAAAATGTAACCGGGGGGACTATATACTCCAGTCTGCCTAGATGTGAGTCTGCCAAAATGTAACCGGGGGGACTATATACTCCAGTCTGCCTAGATGTGGCCGGGGAAACTATATACTCCAGTCTGCCTAGATGTGACAGGGGAAACTATATACTCAAGTCTGCCTAGCTGTGACCAGGGACACTATATACTCCAGTCTGCCTAGATGTGATTGGGGAGACTATACTCAAGTCTGCCTAGATGTGACCAGGGACACTATATACTCCAGTCTGCCTAGATGTGATTGGGGAGACTATACTCAAGTCTGCCTAGATGTGACCAGGGAGACTATATACTCCAGTCTGCCTAGATGTGATTGGGGAGACTATACTCAAGTCTGCCTAGATGTGACCAGGGAGACTATATACTCCAGTCTGCCTAGATGTGACGGGGGAAACTATATACTCAAGTCTGCCTAGATGTGACCAGGGACACTATATACTCCAGTCTGCCTAGATGTGCAGGGGACACTATATACTCCAGTCTGCGTAGATGTGACCAGGGAGACTATATACTCCAGTCTGCCTAGATGTGACTGGGGAAACTATATAATCCAGTCTGCCTAGATGTGACCGGGGAGACTATATACTCCAGTCTTCCTAGATGAGACCGGGAAGACTATATACTCCAGTCTGCAAAGGTGTGACCGGGGAGCCTATATACTCCAGTCTACCTAGATCTGACCAGGGACACTATATACTCCAGTCTGCCTAGATGTGACTGGGGAGAATATATACTCCAGTCTGCCTTGATGTAACAGGGGAGCCTATATACTCCAGTCTGCCTAGATCTGACCAGGGACACTATATACTCCAGTCTGCCTAGATGTAACAGGGGAGCCTATACTCCAGTCTGCCTAGATGTGACCAGGGACACTATATACTCCGATCTGCCTAGATGTAACAGGGTAGCCTATATACTCCAGTCTGCCAAAATGTAACCGGGGGGACTATATACTCCAGTCTGCCAAAATGTAACCGGGGGGACTATATACTCCAGTCTGCCCAGATGTGACTGGGTAGACTATATACTCCAGTCTGCTTAGATGTGACTGGGGAGAATATATCCTCCAGTCTGCCTAGATCTGACCAGGGACACTATATCCTCCAGTCTGCCTAGATCTGACCAGGGACACTATATCCTCCAATCTGCCTAGATGTAACAGGGTAGCCTATATACTCCAGTCTGCCTAGATTTGACCATGGGCACTATATACTCCAATCTGCCTAGATGTAACAGGGTAGCCTATATACTCCAGTCTGCCTAGATCTGACTAGGGACACTATATACTCCAGTCTACCTAGATCTGACCAGGGACACTATATCCTCCAGTCTGCCTAGATGTAACAGGGGAGCAGTCTGCCTAGATGTGACAGGGGAGCCTATATACTCCAGTCTACCTAGATCTGACCAGGGACACTATATGCTCCAGTCTGCCTAGATGTGGCTGGCGAGACTATATACTCCAGTCTGCAAAGGTGTGACCGGGGAGCCTATATACCCCAGTCTGCCTAGATGTAACAGGGGAGACTATATACTCCAGTCTGCTTAGATGTGACTGGGGAGAATATATCCTCCAGTCTGCCTAGATCTGACCAGGGACACTATATACTCCAGTCTGCCTAGATGTGACTGGGGAGAATATATACTCCAGTCTGCCTAGATGTAACAGGGGAGCCTATATACTCCAGTCTGCCAAGATCTGACCAGGGACACTATATACTCCAATCTGCCTAGATGTAACAGGGGAGCCTATATACTCCAGTCTGCCTAGATGTGACCAGGGACACTATATACTCCAGTCTGCCTAGATGTGATCGGGGAGACTATATACTCCAGTCTGCCAAAATGTAACCGGGGGGACTATATACTCCAGTCTGCCTAGATGGGACTGCTCAGACTATATACTCCAGTCTGCCTAGATGTGTCTGGGGAGACTACAAACTCCAGTCTGCCTAGATGTAACAGGGGAGCCTATATCCTCCAGTCTGCCTAGATGTGGCCTGGGAGACTATATACTCCTGTCTGCCTAGATGTGACCGGGGAGACTATATCCTCCAGTCTGCCTAGATGTGATTGGGGAGACTATATACTCCAGTCTGCCTAGATGTGACCGAGGAGACCATATACTCCAGTCTGCCTAGATGTGACCGGGGAGACTATATACTCTAGTCTGCCAAAATGTAACCGGGGAGACCATATACTCCAGTCTGCCTAGATGTGACCGGGGAGACTATATACTCCAGTCTGCCTAGATGTGATTGGGGAGACTATATACTCCAGTCTGCGTAGATGTGACGGGGGAGACTATATACTCCAGTCTGCCTAGATGTGACCGGGGAAACTATATACTCCAGTCTGCCTAGATGTGACCGGGGAGACTATATATGTCACTTTCTCCAGTCTGCCTAGATGTGATTGGGGAGACTTTATACTCCAGTCTGCGTAGATGTGACGGGGGAGACTATATACTCCAGTCTGCCTAGATGTGACCGGGGAGACTATATATGTCACTTTGGAGATCTTTGTAGGTGGCATTATTTTCTTTTCATCTGATTTACTCAAACATTTCTTATTAGAGGAGAAATTGCTTCAAACTTTTGACAGAACGATTCATTTAAACACAAAATGTGTTTTTTTTAATTATTTGACTATTGCTGAACAACCAAAATGCCCTTGTTAGATCTTAACAGTGACGAGCCAAATACACAACAAAAACCGTTTTCTATATCACTTTGTTTATTTTGATAATAGATGTACTGACGTTTAATGTTTTATATACACTTAAATACATATATATATATATACACTATATAACTATCTACATTGACAATGTGGTAAGAGAAATTGCTCATGGAAATGTTTTGACTTGGACGGTTTAGATAACATGATAATTCGGTACGTTATGAACCGGGATAAAGTTAATGGAATGAATATAAACTCATTGTATATCTCGACACAATTGATCTTATTGTGTCAATATCTTAAACTTCCATACTTTTCTTCCATACAAACTCCAAAATAAGTTCCTTCTTTCTACAATCTATTACTTGATAGTAATGTATTGAAGTTATACTGAATCTGAATTCTAATGAACCCGTGTTACCAGCAATAAAATAAGGATGTGAATAGGCTTATTATCAAATAATTATGTATAATTAGCAAAATCGCACAAAAACCTTTACCAAGAATTAAAGTTTGATAAACTCACTGATGCATAACCTAACCAGACAGACCAGTTCCAGACATGCACAGTACCAGAAAATGTATAATGGCAAGTTTGCATAGGAAAAGATTTAACAGGAAAGATTGACACTCTTGTTAGGGATAAAAAAAGTTGTGTAGTAGATTACTTCATAAACAATACATGTACAGTAAAACCATATTGATCTGGCCTAACAGTCCTTGAAACATCCAAAACCTCTGGCTCCTTGTATTTCAGGAAACATACATTTTTGAATCCTACAGCTTAAGAAACGTCATTCTGTTCGAAGCTTTTATAGTCCGAAATCGTCTGATGTTTCTGGGCCCTTGTAGTAAAGAAACCCTCTGACGCTTCTGGGCGGTTTAAATCCAGGAAATGTTTTCCTGTGAGATTTAATTTGTGTAGCATTAACACTGAAGCACAGCTGGCCATCAGTTCCAGGCCGCTATAGTCTAGTCTTAACATCTAACGCTTCCAAGCCCCTACAGTACAAAACTGTCTGTTGACACTTCCAGTCCTAAAGACATATAACGTTGACACTTCCAGGCCCTGAAAGTCCTAAAAAAAAATTACGCTTCCAAGCCCCTACAGTCCAAAAACTGTCTGTTGATACTTCCAGGCCCTTTAAGTCCAAAAACATCTAACGCTTCCAAGCCCCTACAGTCCCAAAACTGTCTGTTGACACTTCCAGGCCCTTTAAGTCCTAAAAACATCTAACGCTTCCAAGCCCCTACAGCCCCAAAACTGTCTGTTGATACTTCCAGGCCCTTTAAGTCCTAAAAACATCAATTGCTTCCAAGCCCCTACAGTCTAAGATGCATCCTATGGAAATCGTGATATCCAGACCAAACAAGTTTCACTGTTATAAATAATATCACAGACAAAATCATATTGAAATTAAAATAATTAAATAACATTAACACAGAACAGAGCACTCCTGGCCATGAGTACACAATGATCAAGTACACAATATACACATCCTTTAAAAGTTTACCAGAACTCATACCGATTCTCTATTAGTTCAGGGCTTGTATTCATGAAATTGTTCTCATGCTCAACAATGAATTCCTTGAACTTTCTTGTCACTCGTTTAAATCATGTAACAAAGTCAAAAAAGTCAAGTGTAAACAGTATATGGCTCTGGGTCTGATCAAAAGTCTTCCATATCATTGACAATATGTAAATTTGTTGTTAATTCATCAACGAAGCAAGAAATTAGACTTGAACACAGAATCTTGAGTTTGAGCATGAGAACGGTTTCATAAATACGGGCCCTGGGTGAGATTCTGTTAACTCATACGAGTTAAGTTAAACTCAATCTTCCATTCAGAATTTCAGCTGCTCACAAATGTGTTACACTCAAAGGATGTATCATTGCTCTAGCCTTAAACTCATGCAAGGAGCATAATAACCACTACACACGGAAAAATGTACAATTCTTTTCATGATTTGTAATAACATGTTGAAAATCTCTTTTCCCTGGTGAAGTAATATTGCAGGCTTTTAAGATATGAATGACACGTCGTTCACACTCTCAGTCACTCATATGTATCTAGGGACAGTGATGTTACATATGACATCTGGAGTCTTGGAAACGTACATGTATTATAAATATTAAAATATACAACCTTCAGATAATATGAATAATTCAATCATTCAAACATAGGAATTCTGTAAAACAGAAAATGTTCGCCCCCACTGTAAAATATTGGAACTGGTAGTTAATAATTTTGATAAGCATACATGGGCAAATTCAACACTTGTCAAATTAGTTCTAAAAGCCCAGAGGTCAAAAAATCGGTGGGAGGCAAAATATTATGCATTATACAGCATTCCATCAGCCAACTTAATATTAATGAATATTCAATCATCTGACCTTATGAATATTCAATCATCTGACCTTATGAATATTCAATCATCAACATCATGAATATTCAACCATCCATTCATTCATCTATACTTTGAGCATGACAGAGTGAGACTAGTTCTACGTTATATAGCACAGTAGGAGTATATACCTACTGAACTGTGCTGTAGCCTACTTTAAATATTTCTAATCCTAAACATTTGATTACACCTCATATAAATATATTTCCTTCTTGTAGGTGAGTTTGAAATATTACTCGAATCAAAACTCTCAAACAATTCAATATGTATGAATAATCATCTACTTCCTTCAGTTTTAAAGTATGCCATTCTATGAAGCCTATATGCCTAGTATCAAATTTATATTAATTAACAGGATTTTTTTTTAATTACCCTGCATGCCTGGGACATTCTTCACTCCATCCTTCCTAAACTTCAGCTTGATGAAAGTGAAATTTTCCTCTTTTATTTCCTCTGTCAATCATCGAGACCAATCTTCCAGGCAGACATGTATACAAACCACTAATCTGATTAAAACCATATCATAATCAACGCTCCGTTCCGTAAACTACACTCTGCTACGTCTTGAGGTAGCAGAATGTAGTTTAAACGGACAATTTAGTGAAGTAAGTTTTTTTTTATAACTTTGTCGCAAAACTCTTCATGATTATATAGTTCGATACTCCCTATGAACAATTCATGGCTTCAGGTCAAGTCATTATCAATTTCGTAAACTTTTGTTAGGAGATATATATTTTAAATATCGACTTGATTTTCAGGTAATCAAAAAAACTTACTTCACTTAATTGTGCCTTTAAGGGAAGGAGGGTAGATATGGTTTTAGTCAGATTGATAAACCACACACTGAACTTATGAACAGTGTAATACCAAATACACCAGTCATGTTTACACATAGAATACTAGTGAATGGTGAACACCTTTGTCACATTCACACACAAATCATGAATTCATCTCCTAGAACTATTTCAGATCTAATGAATATCAGACTTACCAGCACAAAAACATACATAAACATGTAAGACTTGCTGGTTAAAAAACAACTTTTTTGAAAACCTTTAACAAAAATAACAATCATGCTTTTTTCCCTCAATCAAAACTATAACACTCTTATACTGGCATTCAAAATCATCCTATCAACCAAAAAATAGAACAGAAAATTTAAAATAGAGAAAAACGCTCTAATGAAAATTGAAATGTTCCAACTGACAGAGGGCATTGGTGTAGAAATCTTGATGAAGTGATATTATGAACACAAGACAATGATTTTTCTGCCCTATTTACCGGAGTCCAATACAAACTAGAGAATTTCTTTTCTTTCATACACTGTACAGCTTTTAAGACTCTTTCATACACTGTACAGCTTTTAGGACTCTTTCATACACTGTACAGCTTTTAGGACTCTTTCATACACTGTACAGCTTTTAGGACTCTTTCATACACTGTACAGCTCAAACAATGTTACGAGCTGCTTAAAATGTAAAATTTCAGTTATTATAAACATCAGACACAATTTCGGAACATGAACTCGAAAATGTTGATGAACAATGGAAACAAAGTCAGAAACATTTTTACGGAATGTGTGAAAATTGGTTGGATACGTACTTTCCGTAGTCAACCAAAAAATAAAGTTATCCTAAAAATGTGGTTAGCGTTTTTGTCACACATTTTCAAAAAATAATGCGGATGTAATAGAAAGCGTCCTTGTGTCCACACGATTTTCACAAAAACATGATATTCTAGATATCTTGCGAGTTTGTGTTGTCACAAAATTTCCAGAAAGATGCAAGCAATTGAACTCTTCGAAAACAAAGCGGAATCTTGAGAAATGTCTGTTCAACTTTTCTGGACAAGCATAGGTTTCTTCACCGACTAATCACAATATTTCTTAACTTTTGGTATTTAATCGCAATCAGTTTTTGCCAGTCAATTCAGTCTTTTTTAAGTCAGTCAGGTTTTCTGTTCTGGGCTGAATTTTATTCCGCAGCTACTAGATTATCAAAACAAGGGTATCATCTGTAGTATGTGAAGACTCGTGTATTCAATCTAGAAGCCTAGAATTTTTTGAATCTAGATAAATACAGATTTACAGCAATCTGTATGTTTGGATCTTTACAAAGTCTTGATGACATCGCTGATCTCTCATTCAGATTGCCCCTACACAGCCTTGATTGGTGAGCTGGCCTGGAACTGACTAAGTGTATACTGGTTCTTCAGATCTATCTCCTCCTGTAGAATTACACATCTCTGCTGTAACGAGTTCACCTGGGACTTCAGAGAATCAATTGTGTCCTCAAGTTCCTGTAATCGTTGTAAAGTTACAGGTATTACTGTAATACTAATATTGTTACAAAGCTTGTTTATACCTTACAAACTTACAGGTATTAGTGTAATACTGATATTGTTACAAAGCTTGTTTATACCTTACAAACTTACAGGTATTACTGTAATACTGATATTGTTACAAAGCTCGTTTATACCTTACAAAGTTACATGTATCTCTGTTCATGTGAAATTGACTATTTCCCAAGATGATTTGCTTTACTGAATTTTTGTAACCAAAGAATCTGTACACACCTGTCTCACAGAGACTGACATCATACCCCTCATCTTCTCCTCGTAGGCAAGTTTCAAGTGCGTCATCTGTAAAGAAGGAAAGGGGAGATAATAAATCCATAACAACTGTTTTCCTTGGCACACCACAAATTTGACAAATCAGAAATATGGTGAAGTAAATTTTATGCCGAAATTCTCACTATGTCTAGTCAGTGGGACTGTAATAAACCTTCCTAATTATTATCAAATACGAATCAAATCAGAGGTAGTCAATGGTGAAGTGTAACAAGAAAATATTATAAATAGAATAGAAAATTAAAGGGTTTAAATGTCCGAGGTATCCGAACAAGGCTCACCTTTTCTTCAAAGTCGGACTCCTGCTGGTCGAGTCGACGCTCCAGAGTCCTGACGCGGTTTTGCTGGGATTCCAGTTCCTTCTGAAGACTCTGTAACATGCCGATAGACATATGAACATATTACTTATGGGCGCTGTTTCATATCATTGCCATGTTTCAGGATAAGACGGTGGGGGAGTTTTTTCTCGATTCATCAACTGTATTTGTTTAAGACTAAAGATTGTCAATATTTGGCAATACAAAAAGGATCATATTCAAATAAATAAATAAATGAATAAAAAGAATCTACAACCAGTAGCCAGGGGCAGCCTATGTTATGTACTCTCAGTACAAACAGCTTACACATTAACATAATACTGACTTCATTATAATTTATCTATAATTCTTCAAATAGGTTTAGATAATTAACTCAGTGATGTGACTAAATTGTATAAAGTTACTTGTCACACAAGACTTTACTGTTGCTGTGAAGTGATGAAGATAAGGGTAGATCAGGTGGCTGTCAGTAATTGTCAGCCTACATGTGTACAAGTGTAGGCTCCTACAGTCTATCACAGAAAGTCAAACACAAACTACATGTTAACACACAATAACAGACAAACCATCACATGTTATTCCATACAAACCCAAAAGTTAAACAAGTTCAACTACAAACATGTCTCAGATTTTTTTCAGACAGCAAAATCAATGAACCTCAATGAGTATTAATAAACTTAAATTAGTAGCAACCAAAGCACCACCACTGAACTTACAGGTATACATGATTCAGGGTAATAGGCCTAATAAGTGTGTTCAGATTTCAGCATTCTTAAAAATAAATTCTCCATGACAATGTTTTAATATAGGATTCAAAACATTTCCTTTTTCGTTACCAGACTAGAGTGTATTTTTTTTTATATATATATACATGTGTATGTAAACATTTCAATTTTTTAAGATTTTAAGCTATGGGTCAGAAACTTGTCAGTCAATGGGGAAAGAGAATAAAATGCCTGAAACTCATGTTTTTTTCCAGGCCTATATAAACAAATTTTCCCAGTACATGTAGAACCTTTCACCCAAATGTTCCCATGGATTTTGGATTTTGGATTTGAGGGTATATTATATGGATTTTGCAGATTCTTGCTCACATGCCACAATACAAACAAAACATTATTTTACTTTCTGGCATCAGTCATTAATTTCTGTACGTTCCTGCTTGGCCAGAATCCAAGATGGCAACTGGTGGCCATTTTGAATTTCAGATCCATATTAAGATAAAACTTAAGCAGGTGATTGAACACAAAAATTGAATAAAGTTTAAACTTAAAATAAAGTATCTATGGTGACAGTGACTACTACAGACCGAGTTCTACAGCAAACCACGACTACTCTGGACTAGTAGCTACTTGTACTGTGAGATAATCATCATTACGATAGTCATTCTGTATCGAACTAGTACACAGAATACTACGTTCGTTAGAGGGTGACAGTGCCTAAGGTCACCCTGATAATACAGCACACTATCATCTGAGATGCAGGCCTCAGTTTTGGGTGTCAGTGATATCTTTGTGTAAAAGGAACAAAATGTGATGTCTAAGTAGGAAAAGATGGTGGACAAATTAAATTACTTACTTCCATGTTAACTCACTTTAACACTATCAGCAGTGAACATTTTACACTATCACCTACTGCTAGAATGATTTCCAGACATTTTTTTTAATTGATTCACTATAAAATGACCTTCTTGTATACCTCTATGAAGCCACTTCAGGAAACAATCCATGCAGTAACAGCACCACAACATAAACAATGGATTATTACAAGTACCAAAACTATAATGGACAAATATCACTGGAGGTCTAATAAAACAACTACATGGCATCTCTGTGTGGAAAAGCACTGTACGTGACAGATATCTGTATGGTGGCCCTGACAAGGACAGTGAGGCTCTAACTAGTAGAGATATCTGGTAAGACTGACTTCTGATAGATATCTGTATTGTGGCCTTGACAAGGACAGTGAGGCTCTAACTAGTAGAGATATCTGATAAGGCTGACTTCTGATAGATATCTGTATGGTGGCCCTGACAAGGACAGTGAGGCTCTAACTAGGAGAGATATCTGGTAAGGCTGACTTCTGATAGATATATTTATGGTGGCCTTGACAAGGACAGTGAGGCTCTAACTAGTAGAGATATCTGGTAAGTCTGACTTCTGATAGATATCTGTATGGTGGCCCTGACAAGGACAGTGAGGCTCTAACTAGTAGAGATATCTGGTAAGTCTGACTTCTGATAGATATCTGTATAGTGGCCCTGACAAAGACAGTGAGGCTCTAATTAGGAGAGATATCTGGTAAGGCTGACTTATGATAGATATCTGTATGGTTGCCCTGACAAGGACAGTGAGGCTCTAACTAGTAGAGATATCTGGTAAGGCTGACTTCTGATAAATATCTGTATGATGGCCCTGACAAGGACAGTGAGGCTCTAACTAGGAGAGATATCTGGTAAGACTGACTTCTGATAGATATCTGTATGGTGGCCCTGACAAGGACAGTGAGGCTCTAAGTAGGAGAGATATCGGGTAAGGCTGACTTCTGATAGATATCTGTATGGAGAGGCCCCACTATTCTGTAAGGTAAGGTCCTAACAACCGAAATTACTGATCTTTATCTAATATCTACTGAGTTAAGGTGATGACAACAAGAGGCAGAAAAATGTATCTGTATGAGACCTATCTACGAAAGATCTGTACAGTAAATATAAGGTCCCCACTACAAGAACTCTGTCAAGGTAAGGCCCTGACTGGTGTTAATAGACACGCGGCGATGTTACCCAGCTCCAGGCCTTCGCCCAAGCCTCCTGGGATTCCAACTCAGTCTGTAGGTTCTGTAACATAAACTTCTAGACTAACGTCCGCTACTACTACTACCATATATACAGTCAATTTTTAATATTGAGGACCTTTCAGTAAGGTTTAATCAATGTTACCACTTTTGATAATGGTGAATACACCTCACTGAAAATAAACACATTATTGCCTACCAGTACATCTAGTCAAATTCAAGGTCATTACATTTAATGACAGGTTCAAGGTCACAGTATTAAAGATACGAAAGAAAACAAACTATGTATATAGCCCACAGAACTATCAAGGTCATTATATTTTAAAGTTTACTTAAAGGTCACTAAATCTCAAGGTCATTATAATAAAAGGTTACTACAAGGTCAATATAATTGAAGGTTACTACAGGTCACTAAAGTTCAAGGTCAATATAGTTCATGGAAACTACACAATTTCACTACAATTCAAAGACACTCTATTTCAATGTCATTACAAGGCTTTTGAGCAAAGGATGCTAAAGTTCAAGGTCACTGCTCAACTGAGTCCTGAAAACTGTACACGGCAATAAACATCTAGAAATGTTCGTTCAAATTTGTTGTGACTTAGAATTAGTAAATGTTTCCTTTCCCAGGTGTCATACCCTTACCTACACTATAGTGAACTTTAGTGTTTCAAAATGTCGGTTAGAGTATCACTCAAATAAATATAGATAACAATGATTAGAATCATGATATAGGATCTTTTTAATCAGATAAATATCCCTTCACCAATATGTTATCAGTATCCCAACAATAAGTTATAAAGACATGACAATGTATATCTTGACACTCACAACAACAGATGTTATAACATCAAAATGTCTGAGAGTTTGTTAAAAACCAGTTCCTCAGAAAGGAACAAACCCTCATCTAACAGGTTTACCCCAAAGAAGACCCTAGGTAAATCTTCTATGCTAACCTTATCAAGTTTGCCGAAAATGAGCAATTTTGCCCAAACAAATGTCAAATCTTGTGGAATATGGTACCTTGAAACTTTATGAAATTTTGTGACAGTATAGTGACATTTAGCTTTTAAACAACATTCAGCAAAAATCTTTGGACTCATCAGAACATTACTGATACTTTTACATAAATATTGTCCTTAAGTAACTTCCCTTACACAAACATCATTTCTTGTTATCTCTCCTTGTTGAAATGTTTCTTGTATACTCCCCAAACATTGTCCACAGTTATCTCTCCTTATTCAAACATTGTCCAGTTATTTCTTTATCCAAACATTGTCCACAGTTATCTCCCCTTGTCCAAACATTGTCCAGTATATCCCCTTATCCAAACCATTGTCCACAGTTATCTCCCCTTATCCAAACATTGTCAACGGTTATCTCCCCTTATCAAAACATTGTCCACGGTTATCTCCCCTTATCAAAACATTATTTTATTGTCTTCACCAATACATCATGTAAAATATCATATGAGTATACATATATCATGTAAACATCCTCCTCTCACAGGAGTCACATCTTTGATCCCATATCAAAACATCGTCCACAGTTATCTCCCCTTACCAAAACCATCGTCGTTATCTCCTCTTGCCAAACCATTGTCCACAGTTATCTCCCCTTACCGAAACCATTGTCCACAGTTATCTCCCCTTACCCAAACCATTGTCCACAGTTATCTCCCCTTACCCAAGCCATTGTCCACAGTTATCTCCCCTTACCTAAACATCGTCCACAGTTATCTCCTCTTACCCAAACCATTGTCCACAGTTATCTCCCTCTTACCAAACCATTGTCCACAGTAATCTCCCCTTACCCAAACCATTGTCCCCGGTTATCTCCCCTTACCCAAACCATTGCCCACAGTTATCTCCCCTTACCCAAACCATTGTCCACAGTTATCTCCCCTTACCTAAACATCGTCCACAGTTATCTCCCCCTACCCAAACCATTGTCCACAGTTATCTCCCTCTTACAAAACCATTGTCCACAGTTATCTCCCTCTTACCAAATCATTGTCCACAGTTATCTCCCCTTACCAAAAACATCGTCCACAGTTATCTCCCCTTACCCAACCATTGTCCAGTTATCTTACCTCCACATTGTTACTGTACTGTCTCTTGATGTACTTGGTTTCCTCCTTGTATTTACTGTTGGAATCATGAATCTTTCTCTCACTTCCTTCTTGTATCCTACACAAAGAGGCAACAGGAGAATATTTCTAAACACAGTAAAGTTTGATTGACAAAATAAATTTGAATTTTAAAGAAAAAACAGTAAATACTGAAACACTCTATTTTTCTTTCTTTTTTAAATCAATAAACAAATATTTCCTCTTCATTATCAACATTATCTAAAATAAATTCACCACCTAAAGAAGTCATTCTCTTTTTATAGCATACTCTTTATTGAAGTTGTGTTGCATAAAATGAATTCAAGATCTATACATATCTTATACTTTTTCCTTGAATACTTTTTTAACCATTCTCCCCACCTTTTAATTTCCTCTCTCAGATGGTTGCATGTTGCCTGTAGTTCTGCTATTGTCTGGAAGATAAAGGTTTGGAATTAAACTCTACGTGTAGCTACACTTCCAGGGATTCAGTATCTACCCATCAAAACTTGTTATGACATTCAATCTTTCTTTCCTGATGACCATCATCACATGCAGATTGAAGAAGGTCGATGTGAAAAATGAAATTCAAGACATTCTGTCTGAAGGTTATGTTCTGAAAAAATATGTTTTTCCAGCATAATCTTTTATTTTTATTCATTTTTTTTTATTTGTTGCATCACAAGAAATTTTAAAGAATCAGAAGATATTTGCTCATGCGTATGAAATTCAATTTTTCTACATTCTTCTCCAAACCAAGCCCAATCACAACAACCCTATCAGTACAACCAAGTATATACCTCTGTAGCTTTTTGTCCTCTCTGCATGTACTCCTTTTCAATATCTTTCAACCTCCCATTAGTCTGAGGAAACAAGATGGAAACAAATAGTTTTTACAAATGAATCTAGTAAATTCAACAGTAGAAAAATCCAAAAATAATTGCTTTTTCGTCAAATATTTGGAAAACATATTTTTAAAAAGGAAGAGAATTAATCTGCTGTATCGACTATTTTATGAATATTCTAATCTGTTAAAGAAGATCCATCCTCATACGACGTTACGGTCCGGATGATGGATGTTTCTACCGCAACCGATCAAACTTCCATAGCTCTTTTATGTTATTGGAGTCATACGCTATACACAATTCCTTGACAATCAGACAGACCTTCTCCAGCATCTTCTCCATCTCCGTGCTGTGAGTTTTCTGCAGCTCCAGTCTCTGTTGTTCCATCTCAGATCGCAATCTTGCCAGCTGAAGAAGAAAAAAAATCAGTAAAATAAAAAATAAATAAAAAATAACACTAATGAATAAGAGACTCTATGTCTTAATTGCAAATATTTTTGTGTCTTTTTCTAAATCATTTACAGTACTGGCTCAATTTAGTTAAATGAAATGTCACCTCAGTTAGTGCTGTCTCACTAAAAAGTCACATTACTGAACTGAAATGTCACTTTACTGAACTGAAACGTCACATTACTGAACTGAAATGTCACTTTACTGAACTGAAATGTCACATTACTTAACTGAAATGTCACATTACTTAACTGAAATGTCACATTACTGAACCAAAACGTCACATTACTGAACCAAAACGTCACATTACTGAACTGAAACGTCACATTACTGAAACAAAATGTCACATTACTGAACTGAAATGTCACTTTACTGAACTGAAATGTCACATTACTGAACTGAAACGTCACTTAACTGAACTGAAACGTCACATTACTTAACTGAAACGTCACATTACTGAACTGAAATGTCACATTACTGAACTGAAATGTCACTTTACTTTACTGAAACGTCACTTTACTGAACTGAAATCTCCCGTTATATACGTTATATACGTTATATACGTTAACGTTATATACGTTATATACGTTATATACGTTATATACGTTATATACCTCAGACTCCTGTTCCCTCTGCATCTTCTGTTTCTCTTCCTCCCTCAGCAGACCTAGCTCCACCAGCTGCTGCTTGCGTAGCTGATTTGCCTGCACAATCTCTTCTCTCAGTTCTTGGTTCTGGCGCTCAACACTCGAGATTTTCTGGAAAGTAAAAACCTTCTGATAAGACTAAAGGTCTATTATAAATCAAATTTACTTTCAACTTTAAAGCTAATGAACTGAACTGGCAAAACATTTCTATAGATACAAAATTCATCTTTTTCACCTATTTCTGATCTGATATAGCTTTGATACTTGTTTAATAAAACTTAAGTCTTCTAAATGGAATATCGTTATATATATGTATACTTATAAAATATATATTTAATATATTTGAAAACATTATGAATAAGTTTTTTTATCTTATATTTATCACTGTTGGGCTGGAAGTGGTATGTAGATGGTCAAAATTTGAGAGGAAACCAGAGTACCAAGAGAAAACCCATGTGGTCAGGCAGTTGACCAAATAGCTTTTCACGTCCAATCAGGGAATCAAACTCTGGCAGTCTTGGTGAAAGGCAAGTGCGCTATCCATTGCATCACTTGACCACAATTATATATTCCCCCCTAACGCAAATATGGACATGGCTGGTGGATAATAACAATAATTTGTTATAAATGCCGATTTAATAACCCCTCTTCTTCTTCATGTCTGGTCCAAAAGCTGACACATGGATGTATTTAAAAAATGAATGAAATGTGTTTCAGTCTAAAATGCCATTCACTGACCTTGGCGTCACGGTCTGTGCGTTCCCGCATCCTTGTGTCAAGGTCGTAGAGTTCAGACTGGTGGTTTTCCTTGAGATCCTGGAAGTCTTTCTCGTGCTGTGACAGGACCATCTCCTTCTGTTTGTGGAAGTCTTGTAACATCTGAGCCTTGTCATGTTCCAGGGTCAACTTCAGCTCCACCATCTACAAGGGAAGGACAATAAAAATGTGTAAATATACGTACACTGTAAAAGCCTAATTGATAAAATGATACTGAATGGCTTAAATTTTGATTAAAGGATTTTTTTTTGTACCGGTAGGAAAATAACTTCATGAAATATTGAAACATATCGTTTTAAGAAAGACAGTCCAATTTAAGGCTTAAAATGCCTGTCAGCATGTAAATTACAAATATGCTCTCACTACAAACTAATTGATGGTATCTTTACACAGTTTTACAACATCATTTTACATTTGGGTCTTTATGAGCCTCCTAGCTTACTGCTATACACTGTGAAACTTAAATCTTCATCTAGATAACAGTTTCAATAATTATTCATGTTTCACTAATTCAGAAAATTGATATTCATAGCCTTTTCCGGTTAAACCAAAGTGTATGATCAGGTTCCATTGAAAACAATGTTCCACACACTGTTTATGAAATGCATGAAAAATTAGGTAAACAAAATATGTGGACATTATAACAGGTCACCATTTCACTAACCTGTCGTTCGTGCTGGGCTCGTTCATCCTCCAACTGTTTGTTGAACTCGCGGGCCTGTCTCTCTCGCGCCTGTTTAGATTTGTTTAGGTCGGTCTCCACCCTCTCCATCTACCCACACAACAAACACAGGTCTTATCTCACGATGAAAGATTCCAAAATATACTTAATACATTTTACGATTAAAATACTCAATTTGAAAATTTCACAAATTTTGAATTGGTTTTCAACTTTTCAATTAGAATTCTTCCTATGACTCCAACGACGTCATCACCTCCTTCAACATCCTTGATAATTTTATGCAGGATATATCTTTTTATCGCAAATGCACACGAACCTCCATATTCCAAACCCTAAGAATTCTTCTTTTTTTTTAAATCCATACTTTAAAGGGACAATTTAGTGAAGTAAGTCATAACCTTGTCATAAAATTCTTCATCATAATATAGTTTGATATTCATTATGAGCAATTCATGTCGAGAAATTTACAAGAGGCAACGTTTTCTTGGCGTTTTTAATCAGTAATGTGGAAATCCTTAACTGTACAGCCGTACGTTTTAGCGGCAGCTGTCGGTAAATTTCTAGCAAAACAAAAATGTCTTTCCAGCCGAGGAGAGAAGGTAAATCCTCGCTCTATACACCTAGCCTCTCTGGAATACAAGTATGTGCATTTATTCTGAATTAAAATCATCTCCCAACAGCATCTCAAACATCGTTATAAATGAGTAATCAATTTTACGTTCAAACCTATTGATATCGTCTCCCTGTGGCACCCTCTCAGTGCATGCATGCTCTAATTGAACCTCATCGTTTGTATTCAAATCCAAATGTGAACAAAAATATCTGATTAGAGGTATATATAATGATACTTATGATTCCTACTTCCGATGTATTGTGTACTCACTCATAACTGACACTGTGTTGTCGGTCGACAGCGTAGTGCTGTACAGTGTGAACTCAGACTCATAACTGACACTGTGTTGTCGGTCGACAGCGTAGTGCTTGCTGTGCATGTTTACTTCTCACTGAAAGGCCCGGATATTGCTCTATTTCAGTCAAAGCTATTTTTATCACCGGGATTCCGAAAAGATGAAACTGACCACACTGAACGTTGGCTTCAGGTCATGTCATTATCAACTACGTAAACTTTCGTTAGGAGATATATCTGTTCAGTATCCTCGATTTTATATGACCCGATTTTCAGGTTGTCATTTGACTAAATAGCCCCTTTGATTGTCTTATCCTACTTTCTTTTCATTTGACATCTTTGTTTCAACATGTAATCAGTACTACCCACCTGTTGCTTCATTTCGTTGTACATGCGATCCTGATTTTTCTCCACTTGACCTTTGAACTCCTCTAGAGCTTTCTCTGCCTGTTGCGACTGTTTGGTGTTCTTGTCCGTCAGTTTCTTTACCTCATCCTCTTTCTCTCTGGTGGACAAATAAGCTTCCAGTTAATAACATGCATGACAATTTAAGTTGAGGATTACACGAAGAAATTTATTAATTTTTAATGTATGGGTAGAGCAATTTTTTAAAATGTTTTGGCCTTATGGATTAATAGAATCTTTCTCCACCTTTAGGGTAAGTCTTACACCACAGTTATGGACTAATAGAATCTTTCTCCACCTTTAGGGTAAGTCTTACACCACAAGAGGAGAATGAATGTTTTTCTCCCACCTCATATGTTAGTGGAACTTTCATGGATTTCATAATTCATCATATTTTTTTTAAATTGTATCCTCAATATGTATTTCAGTGAAACCTATCTCCACTGAAAAGCATGGCAATAAAACGTGACACTCGGCATAAACAGGATTTGGGATCAAACAGGAACGTCAATGTCAGTATGTTAACCTGATGAGCATCTGATAAACATAGGTTTAACTCATGCACCCCTGAAATTTCATAATGAACTATTCAAACCTTTGAACTGGAAGAGTTCAAATGTGTCTTCAGGGGTGAATGAGTTAACAAGGTTTGTATTGAGAGGGAGTTTGATGAACATCTTGTTTATACAGAATAAATACTGTAAGACCTTTATGAAGAGGTCACCGTGTTTGTGCATGCATAATTAATCAAAAGTGACAATCGTAAATTGAAGTACATCTTGTATATAGTTTCATTATATAGCTGACTGCATTAATCAACCAGAAGAAAACTTAAAGTACCTACTTTTGTCTACAGTGCCTACCTGATAGTCTGCTCCAATTTCTTTATCTTTTTCTGGAAGTCCTGTTCCATCTGCTCGGTCTCTAGCTTCATGGCTCTTGTCTGGTAAACAAAAATACTACAGCTCAAATACCAAAATTCCATCGGCTAGACAAAGTAGAAAGTAAAAACTCTTCCCAAATACTCGTTCAGCGTTTTTTGTTGTTTTTTTTTTACCAATATGACATTTCAAAAAAATAGTCCTTCAGCAACACATATATATCTATTCAAAGTATCTTTATCATGTTATATATTGAGGATTTAAAAAAGGTGTAGTACAATGAGGAACTAAGGCAGAACAAATTTCAAGTGCGAGAGAATCATCAACTATGAAAATGAAATTTTACAAAAGATTATTTTCTACAAAGCAACAAAGAAGTTCTGCAGGAATGACTATATTTTTAAGAAAAAAATGTACATGAATAGAAAATGACCGAAGAACTCATCATTTGGACCATAAAACAAAGTTATCCAGGTGTTTCAGTCATAAACTTTTAAGGAATGTATGGTTGGGACTAAAATACATGCTCAATTGTAAGAGGTATTGGACATAATTGTGTTTAACTTAACTGGGTTCTACTATCAAATTAAAAAGATGCTTAAAGTTGTTAGGACAGAAAAGATGACATCATTTTTGAGGTACTTTACGAAATATCAGTCAGGTATAAAAATATGATTTGGTTATAAATGATTAAGAAAAGGTTGGCTATACAGAAAAGAAAACCAACTGCAAATCTAAAAATAACAAATGAATTAATATAAAGAAGGAAAATTATTGTTATTTGATGCCCAATTCCGCAAAAATTCAATTTAATGTTTTAAAATGTTTACAATTCACACTACAAGCAAAACAAAAAGCAGCCAACAAAGGGATGTCTGTCTCCAGACAAGGTGACAAAGTAACCTTGTTTATATGGATGACGAGAATCTCCTTGGAGAAGGTCCTCACTTGGGCGCGTAGCATTGGGAATATGCTCCACTAAAAGTGAAACGGACTCAATGCTAATACGCTTCAAATGTACAATTACAGTAATTTGGACTCTAATAATACATGTTTCATTTTAAAACTCTTGTATCCAGCGTGCCAAAAATTGTGGGCACTGAAAATCGTTTTTTTTCTTCTTTTCAATAACATACAGTTGTGGGACCGTGCGCACATCGTGCATACATCGTTCACACACCGTCCGCACATCGTCCACACATGGTGCGCACAACTGTGCGAATTAGCAATCGTTCGCCCCGTCGTGCCACAAATTTGCGCAAGCAATGATCGTCCAGCTTTTTATCGTTCACCCATCGGTCACACACACCGTTCTCACACACCGTTCACACACCGCACGTCGTGTAACGTTGTGCGATCCCACAACTGTAACGTAACATGCTCTATGCAGTTATTTATTAGATTTTTCAGTAAAATGTGTCTTGCTGTATTTACAGTCTCAATTGAACAAAATATTCTTTCTATTTTTAAGGTTTGCAATTAATTTTCACTACACATAATGTTTATGAGGCAAAATATTGTGAACAATTCAGTTTCTCAAACAGGGATTGGCAATATAACTTCTGTATCAAAGATAAGCAAACAGCTATATAAATTACTCTGTATATTGTGGGGCAAAAGTCCAGATTTTTGTTCACAATGCTCCCTCCTGTCATGAGTATTTTTTCTACATAGTTAGTTAAATATCATAGATAACTTTTATAAACAGAACATACATTCTAAATGATTAGATAATTACCATACAACTTAGGTTTCTTAAAAATGAAAAAAAATGAAAACAAAAAAAGTCCATTTAAAAAGTATAAAAGCAACACAAGTGTTTCGTAATCATTGTTTGGTACTTCAGAGACTGCCACCCAACAGCTGATGAGTTGACTCACCTGTTTGTCGTGGAGATTCTCGAGGTGTATCTTGTCTTGTTGTTGTACTTGTTCCATTTCCTGATAAAGAAAAAAGCATGTTGCTTTAAAACAAAAATTCAAAACTTAAGGTACTAGCACTTAAGTCTATGGGACATGTCTTCCCCTTCGCAGTCTCTGGTACTAGCAGTAAAGTGTATGGGACATATCTTACCCTGTTCTGTCTCTGGTACTAGCAGTAAAGTGTATGGGACATATCTTACCCTGATCTGTCTCTAGTACTAGCACCAAAGTCTATGGAACATATCTTACCCTGATCGGTCTCTGGTACCAGCACCAAAGTCTATGGGACATTTCTTACCCTGATCTGTCTCTGGTAATAGCACCAAAGTCTATGGGACATGTCTTCCCCTGATCTGTCTCTGGTACTAGTACCAAAGTCTATAGGACATATCTTACCCTGATCTGTCTCTGCTACTAGCAGTAAAGTCTATGTGACTTGTCTTACCCTCATCTGTCTCTGGTACCAGCACCAAAGTCTATGGGACATGCCTTTCCCTGATCTGTCTCTGGTACTAGCAGTAAAGTGTATGGGACATATCTTACCCTGATCTGTCTCTAGTACTAGCACCAAAGTCTATGGAACATTTCTTACCCTGATCTGTCTCTGTTACTAGCAGTAAAGTCTATGGAACATTTCTTACCCTGATCTGTCGCTGGTACTAGCACTTAAGTCTATGTGACATATCTTACCCTGATCTGTCTCTAGTACTAGCACCAAAGTCTATGGGACATTTCTTACCATGATCTGTCTCTGGTACTAGTACCAAAGTCTATAGGACATATCTTACCCTGATCTGTCTCTGTTACTAGCAGTAAAGTCTATGGAACATTTCTTACCCTGCTCTGTCACTGATACTCGCACCAAAGTCTATGGGACATTTCTTACCATGATCTGTCTCTGGTACTAGTACCAAAGTCTATAGGACATATCTTACCCTGATCTGTCTCTGGTGCTAGCACTTAAGTCTATGGGACATGTCTTCCCCTTCGCAGTCTCTGGTACTAGCAGTAAAGTCGATGGGACATGTCTTACCCTGATCTGTCGCTGGTACTAGCACTTAAGTCTATGGGACGTGTCTTACCCTGATCTGTCTCTGCTACTAGCAGTAAAGTCTATGTGACTTGTCTTACCCTCATCTGTCTCTGGTACCAGCACCAAAGTCTATGGGACATTTCTTACCATGATCTGTCTCTGGTACTAGTACCAAAGTCTATAGGACATATCTTACCCTGATCTGTCTCTGGTAATAGCACCAAAGTCTATGGGACATATCTTGCCCTGATCTGTCTCTGGTGCTAGCACTTAAGTCTATGGGACGTGTCTTACCCTGATCTGTCTCTGATACTAGCACCAAAGTCTATGGAACATTTCTTACCCTGATCTGTCTCTGATACTAGCACCAAAGTCTATGGGAAATTTCTTACCCTGATCTGTCTCTGATACTAGCACCAAAGTCTATGGAACATATCTTACCCTGATCGGTCTCTGGTACCAGCACCAAAGTCGATGGTACATATCTTACCCTGATCTGTCTCTAGTACTAGCACCAAAGTCTATGGAACATTTCTTACCCTGATCTGTCGCTGGTACTAGCACTTAAGTCTATGGGACGTGTCTTACCCTGATCTGTCTCTGGTGCTAGCACTTAAGTCTATGGGACGTGTCTTACCCTGATCTGTCTCTGGTACTAGCAGTAAAGTCTATGGAACATTTCTTACCCTGATCTGTCACTGATACTCGCACCAAAGTCTATGGGACATATCTTACCCTGATCTGTCTCTGGTACTAGCAGTAAAGTCTATGGGACATATCTTACCCTGATCTGTCTCTGTCGCTGTTCCTCAGCATCCTTCAGAGCTCTCTTCAACTGGTCTACATGATTGTCCAGCTCAGATAAGTTGTCTGCAGCCTAAATGATCATATCAAACTGGTTATATTTTCAAACACAATTAGTTCTCATTATCTCATAATGACTGTGAAAATGCAATATCAATAAGAATATTTCAATAATTAAGATGACTATTTATTTACAGACAAACGTCTCTGCCGCAGAAATGCTGGAGCCCCATGATACATTTGTAGGTCCAACAAATCACTTGAAATTTTAGGTTTTACCTTATTGAGAATTTCTTTTTGAAGAAGTCCATAATTGAAGCCCATGAAGAGTGACAATTTACCTTAGCTGCGGAAATGTTGTGCTCCTGTTTCATAAACTCTAGACTAGCTTCCATTTTGTTTTTTAGTGTCCTCATCTCTTGATCGTTCACCTCTAAGCTCCTGTGATGTTCCTTTTCAAGATTTAGATATCTAAAACAGATTTTACATAAATTTATATCCAAAAGATATTTCACACAGGGTTATACTGAATCAGATCTAGTTTCTATTTTTCAAGAAGTTTTGAAGATAAATGTACATGTAGTTTGCAGGTACATGTATAGAATTTTGCCAAAAATTCAAAGACTGTACAAGAATTTTGGGACTTGTCCTTCTAACAGCTAGGTCACATGACGCAACAGTGCTGGGAATAATAGAATCTGTCTCCCCCTTGGGGGTGAGATAGGGGAATCTCAATCCCTAAGTTGCCAAACACGACAAAAGCCTTGTGTTTGGCAACTTAAGAATCTTCCCCCCTCGAATTGAGATTCCTTATCTCACCTCAAGGGTGAATGATTCTTTTTCCTCTTACCCTGTTCACCCATTGTGTATCACATATATTATGTAATGTTAACCTTACAGGCTAAATGCAGGGTTGACGTGACGTTGATGCATTGTTGACGCGATATCATACAATTGTCATGAATAGGGGAATCCCCCGTCTCAACCCTAGGGTGAGACAAGGATATCAGTGTGGATACACCTATTCAGGGTAAGAGAAATAAATATTCCAGTTAAGATAGGTAATTCTAGGTATCTCAGTAGGTAATGATAAAGTTAGAATGTAATTAAAACATTTCTGACACCAAATTCATCACTGCTATTTTCAGTCCCTTACTTATCCTTCACATCTCTGTAGTCAGCGGTCAGGCGGTCAAGTTTACAGTCCAGATCCATTTTTTCACGTTCAACGTTATTTCTCGCTTTGGCTGTTTGGTCCACCTCAGACATAAGGGCCTGTAGACGGTTCTCTAGTTCCTTGATGACTGTCGACTGTGCAGAGAAAAAAACAACTTCAAATCACTGAATTTCTGTAATTACCTATTTTAGCAACTGTTCTTCCAACAACTTAACTGCGAGACCTAAACTTCGTGAATGACGACAAGGGCTGCTATATGTTCCTTGTTTATTTGCATCTGAATAAATATTCGAAAATCTACTAAAATTCATGATCATGTCTCCAAACATATTAAAGCCAACAAAAATATCTCCTGAAATATAAATGATTTATATCGGCAACAAACTGTTTTCAGATGCAATTCATAGGTGGTATGAATGCAGTGAACATTCATAATGTCTGTGAACTGCATCTGAAAGCAGTTAAATGAATAAGTAACTTAAGTGAGAGCTCGCTTCTTACTTCTTACTTAACAGCAATGACCTGTGGCATGGCTGAAGACAAGACTCATTGGGATTTTTTTTAAATATAATTCCTCCATTTCCACCTAAAAGTTATAGAGTATGGTAATTATAATAGAATTAAATATTATTGCTATGGTTTCATGCTGGAATAGTCAACTTCTCACCAAAAAATTCCAAACAAGATTCAAATGTGACCTCCTTACTTGGTTAACATAGTGACAAGGCAGAACATAGTAACTTTAACCCTTTCACCCCTAGGAAACTTTAGTAGACTCTACCATACATTTATCTGGGTGAGTCCATTGTGGTCTACAGTGGTTACTATATTAACTACCATCCATTTAACTCTACATTCAGAGGACTATCTGCACAAGGAAGATCGACTTTTGCCACACATGTGTCTTCCTCAATAAATAAAATTCGTTATTATCATTCTTTTAATCCTTATAATATTAACTTCCATTGTTTAATTTAGATATTAGTCTGGACTCTTTTATCTACCATTTACTGGTGTTACTCTGTCTGAAACATTCTCCATTTTCAACCAATTTAGTGGAGTCTGGATCAAGGGACAGCCTGATTGGTGCTGGCTTGATGGGACCTGACCGTACTCTCCTATAAGCTAAATTACTTTTAGAGAATTTTCCTGTTTCTTTATTACAAATTTCCTTATGTACTTCTTTTCTTGGTAATAATATTACATCAATATAAAACATGTTTCACTAATCACTCAGATTCACAACCCAGCTACGTTTTAGCTGGGAATGAAGATGACACGAGTAACAATGGTCCACAGTACAGGTTGTATCTCAATATTCTGGGTGTCATAATTATTTCTGTTTCCATGGTAACTATTGAGATCCATGTCTTACAGTCTGGTTGGTCTGTTGATTGTACTCCTTCTCCATTTTGAGCAGACGGCCGTTTGTGTCGTCCAGAATCTCCTGTATACTCTTCGTGTGATTCTTCTGCATGTCAAATTTATCCTGCTCAAATTTGGCAACCATGTCGTTTAACTGTAACATAAACAACAATGCTGATTAAATGGTGATCAAAAGAGACCATGGGACATGACGTCTTTAGGTATCTGAAGCGATGTTGATAGTGAAGGAACTGATTTTGAAATTTATTTATCTAAATTTGTTCAAGCATATTTAAGAATAAGAATGATTTCATCAGAAAATACAGGTATCAAATTTTGAGAAGTCAGAAAAAATTGAAGTTATGTAAGTGCAACAAGTCAAAAGAAAAGGAAAACAGTGTCATAGCCTTAGAAAACATTTCTGATGCAACCTTACCAGGTACTTTCATTTGATGTATGACCTTCATTTAATGTTCGTTATTGCTTTACTAAGTTTCTTGGTGTGGCCTTACTGAATTTATGGTGTGGCCTTACTTAGTTTCTTGGTGTGGCCTTACTAAGTTTTAGATGTGTCCTGGATTAGTTTTTGGTGTGACCTTACTTAACTTTAGGTGTGGCCTTACTAACTTTTGGTGTGGCCTTACTTAACTTTAGGTGTGACCTTACTTAACTTTTGGTGTGGCCTTATCTAACTTTTGGTGTGGCCTTATCTAACTTTTGGTGTGACCTTACTAACTTTTGGTGTGACCTTATCTAACTTTTGGTGTGACCTTACTAACTTTTGGTGTGGCCGTACTAACTTTTGGTGTGGCCTTATCTAAATTTTGGTGTGACCTTACTAACTTTTGGTGTGGCCTTATCTAACTTTTGGTGTGACATTACTAACTTTTGGTGTGGCCTTACTAACTTTTGGTGTGGCCTTATCTAACTTTTGGTGTGGCCTTAATCTAACTTTTGGTGTGGCCTTATCTAACTTTTGGTGTGACCTTACTAACTTTTGGTGTGGCCTTATCTAACTTTTGGTGTGGCCTTACTAACTTTTGGTGTGGCCTTATTTAACTTTTGGTGTGGCCTTAATCTAACTTTTGGTGTGGCCTTATCTAACTTTTGGTGTGACCTTACTAACTTTTGGTGTGGCCTTATCTAACTTTTGGTGTGGCCTTACTAACTTTTGGTGTGGCCTTATTTAACTTTTGGTGTGACCTTACTAACTTTTGGTGTGGCCTTATCTAACTTTTGGTGTGGCCTTACTAACTTTTGGTGTGGCCTTATTTAACTTTTGGTGTGACCTTACTAACTTTTGGTGTGGCCTTATCTAACTTTTGGTGTGGCCTTACTAACTTTTGGTGTGGCCTTATCTAACTTTTGGTGTGGCCTTACTAACTTTTGGTGTGGCCTTATCTAACTTTTGGTGTGGCCTTACTAACTTTTGGTGTGGCATTATTTAACTTTTGGTGTGACCTTTCTAACTTTTGGTGTGGCCTTATCTAACTTTTGGTGTGGCCTTACTAACTTTTGGTGTGGCCTTATCTAACTTTAGGTGTGACCTTACTAACTTTTGGTGTGGCCTTACTAAACATTTGGTGTGGCCTTACTAACATTTGGTGTGGCCTTTCTTAACTTTTGGTGTGGCCTTACTAACTTTTGGTGTGGCCTTACTAACTTTTGATGTGGCCTCACTTACTTCTTTTTCGAACTCGTTTCTTCGTGTGAAATTGGACTCCTCCACCATTTTCTTGAGATCTGTGATGTATTTGTCCTTGGTGTCCCTCATTGCCTGAGAATCTTTGACTAGTGTTTGGACTGAAGAGTTACAATAAATATAATTAGTTACACACCCTCTCCAATTATTCTTTACAAATTCTCAACAAAAGACTGTTTCATTAGACCAAACCAAAATATTCCATCTTCTTCTTATTCACTGACTAAATCATTCAGACAAACATGCTAGCTCTTTCAGTTTCTCAATGACAACAGTGAGTGTAATCACAGCAATGATAGTCAGCATTCTGTCCTTACCTATTTTTTTTAAATTCTGAGTTGTTTCAAGTTTTCTGAAAAACTTAAGTATCTTACCACTATGTAAATCAGACTTACTTTTCTTTTCCATTTTTGATATGGTCTCTTCTAACTCCTTGGCTTTTGACCTGTAGTGGGATTTTAATTCTTCAATTTCAGCATTTTTTCTATCTAAAATCTGTTGAAAGATGAAATACAATATCAAAACATTTTCTTTAGTAATTATAATCCCATCACAGATCAATATTGAAAGATATTTATTTTATCATTTTAATTTGACTTATTTGCAAAACTTAAATATCTGACACTGATCAATGGAAAAGTTTAAGAATAGTCTCAGGGACCGAACCTTTGTTTATACAAATAATTTATATAGTAATTTAACAATAAATCAAGAAGTTAACCCTTTCACCCCTATGTAACTTTAATAAACTCTACCATACATTGATCTGGATGATTCCATTATGGTCTATAGAGGTGAAAGGGTTAATATTTCTTTTAAATATCAAGTATATTAAAGGGATAAACATATTTTCCTTATTTAAGCTAAGATTGTTGCATGTCGTCCCATACAATTATTACTCTTATCAATTACGATAGCGTGCAAGGTTTTTTTCCCCTTCCAAATTTCAAATTGTGAGTGAACAAGCACTACTTTGATTATTTAAAATTATCCATATTTTTCTATAAAGAAAATAATAACTTTTTTTATCAAAATACTCATACTTTTTAAAAGGTAAAGAAATACTCCACACTTAGAATGCTGTTTTATAAGATATAAGACACATTCAACTTTCATAACTCACCTTCTGTACAGCACCGTCATGTTTCTGTTGCAGTCTTAATTTTTCTTCATGAAATCTTGCTTCTAACATTTTTGTCTTCATTTGTAAGTTCTGAAATAGCAAAATCATTTGATTTGAAACCCAAGTCAAGGTCATTTATTTGAAATCAAGGGTTCACATAAGGTTCGAGGCCTTCATGGGGCAGTCGCTAGGTACTGGTCGCAGGTTGGTGGTTTTTCTGCAGGTACTCCGGCTTTCCTCCACAACTAAAACCTGGCACATCCATAAATGACCATAGCTTTTAATAGGACGTAAAACACAAAACAAACCATTCCAGCTAAAAGTTAGTTAATAGCTTTTAACAATGTGACCCCTGTCAGTTTTTATTCATTTGGTGGGTATAGTTATCAGGGCATGAATCAGATAAATAGGTCCAGTAATTAAGGTCAGACAGAGTACAGATATTGTATAATACTTACATCTTTGCCATAATCCTTTGTCTGATCAATGTCAAAGGTCAGCTTTGTGGATGCGATGGAACCTGCAAGATGAGAAGAAATTTATATCATTAGTAAAGCGTTAGATATTTGATTTCTCTCCTAACACAAAATTGAGAAAAGAATTATAATGATATACATATATTAAAATTAATGTACTTTTTCATGCCAAACTAATATCATGTCTCCGTTTAGGGCAGAGTTTTCATCGAGAATGGTCCTGACTGGAATTGGTTCACCATGCGTGCGTAAAATATCCAAAATAGTCTAAAACTACCCACAACTTACCCCCAAACAGACCTGATGGAGGATTATAGTGATGTGGAGGTGATGGTTGGCTTAGCTCTTCTTCCTGAAATAAACAGATATTATTTATACAAATTTTTGACAGTTATTTTCTTTGGCTTATGTTCAGGGAAAGTCCTCAACAAACTGATCCAAAATGCTGCATCATTTTCGATCAAATTCTTTTTTATAATTTGACTTTTTTTTTTAAATCCTAATGAAAATAAAATCCTGACTGTAACAATAGTATCACCCAATCATTTCAGACCCAGGTCAACAAATAATCACTATTACCCATTATCTGTGTACATTCATAATATTTTCAGTTATAAAACCCCCCTGAAGCCCTGACAATTTTTTTCTTAGTTCATGAAATGTTGGAAATTAAGGAAAGAGTGCTTTGACCTAGCTAGCTGCCAATGAATTCCCACTGGAAACTTTTATTGAAGCCTAACAGTTGCTTTAATCTTGATTTACAATGATAATATTGTCTTTCAAGATTACTTCTGGAAACAGCAGCAGTGATATTTCTATTATTTCTAATATTTTTATTATTGACATACAACGTAATATTGCAGAAGATCAGTGAGAACCCATCTTTAAACTTATATCTATAAATCAACTGGAAAGTTCTTTTTTACAAAGGTTGAATATTTTAAATTCAGACTTGTCTGATTCCACATGCATGCTGCAATAAGAAAAATATTCACAAACTGAAATAAAAAATGTTAAAATCTAACCATTCCTCAACCACACCAGTGTAAAACTGGCCATAAATTCAAGGCATTCACCCAAATATCAGACACAATATTCAACGAACTACAAACAGTAAAATTTAAATAATAATTCACTAAGTACATTGTAACTGTTAGTCAAAACGCAAATTGAACAAATCATCGCTTTCTGTACAGGTAAATTTTACATAATGTAAAAACTTCTCTGACTTTTTCCATCGTAAAAACGTGGAATTTTTCACCATGTTTAATTTGTGATTCTGGAAGAGTAGTATATGATGTAGTTTTTATGACGCAGAGTAATTTGTGTCAAATTCATAAATTCCTCCCTCGTCAAGAATTTCGAAAATAATACACATATATATTTCTTCATACAAAAATTTCTGTCGTCCACATTTTGTCACATAAACAGTGTATACATTTCTTTTCCTGAAAGTTCATGAAATTGTATTTCACAGTTTAAGAGCTCAGGTCAAATGATACAGACAGCACAGCATTAGTGCTAGTGACGGAACTGTTTATATATATACATTTTGAAGAAAAGGATAATTGTTCCTGAAAACTTAAATAATCAAGAAATTTCCAGTCAGATGGCTGACAACACAGCAAAGGTTGACAATATACTGTCCAAATAAATAGAGAAAGGTTATTTCTGAAGAGTTTTATAGATTTAATGATGAGGAATGTTCCAGTCAGACAGCTGACAGCAGGGTTTGTGCTATGTGGGTAATAAAGACAGCCAGTAATCAAACAAATCTTTTTTTTATCCCTTTCAACCCTATGTAACTTAGTAGACTCTGCCATGCATTGATCTGGATGAGTCCATTATGGTCTACAGTGGTGAAAGGTTAAGGACTACCTGACAAAAACTCCAGGAATTCTGAAATCACTCTAATTCTAACCAAAATTTCTATGTGCCTTAAATATACAATTTGACAATTGATTTTATTTTTTGACTTATATTGACAAGATAGTTATAACTGATCTCAAGTCTGCAAATCTAGTCAGAGTGAACCTACACTTACCTTACATTTTGTATTGGTGACATTGAAATAAATATCTCTCACCTCTACGTATGTAAGATACACGTACAAGTGTCCCATACGGAGTGCTCATATGGGATACGTGTTTCTCTTACCCTGGACAGGTGTATCCACACTTTTACCAGTGTGAGATGTTCTTGTCTCACCCTAGGGTTGAGACGAGGGGATTCCCCTATTCATAACAATGGTATGACATCATGTAAACAATACAATGATGTCACGTCAACAATCCATCAACAACACGTCAACTTTGAATTTACCCTGTAACTTTAACGTTACAATATGTATATGCTACAAAATAGGTGAACAGGGTAAGAGAAAACAAATTTCTCACCCCTTGAGGGTGAGATAGGGGATAGAGAGATTCTTTTAATCCCAGATGGGTGCACTCGGTGACTTACTATTTTGACGTCACAATCAAAGCTTCAGTTCTGACGTAAAATCTACACCCTCCGGTAGAATATCCATCTTACATACCTACATATGATATGACTTTATTAGTCTCCCACTTGAGCTGCTAAGGTTTCACACCTGAAATGTTTCCTATATCATACCTATGGTAGCCAATTAAAGGCACCAACTCTAAAGAACTGTACCCTTATAATTCTTTTTACAAATTTTAAAAGGATGATTATATTTTAATCTATACTGCATCTTCAACTGAAAGTCACTACCTGCCATTGTATAAGTGTGAGACCACTTAACACATTCACCCCTGAAATTTCATAATGAACTATTCCAACCTTTGAATTGATAGAGTTTAAATGTGTCTTCAGGGGTGAATGAATTAAAGAACACAGATTCAGCATATTTGAGATAAAAGTATAGTAACTTAATTAACAGTGTTCTTATTACAACTGTATTGAATATTTTATTGTAGCTAAAACTATAAAATTCTCATGGAATTCTTGAAATTCCAAAAGAATGAGGATAATATCTCTTTGGCTGATTTCCTGTCAAAAAAATGATGCTAAAAATGAAATTGAATGAAAATAATATAAACATTAGAAGTATATGCATGATACATTTCCTATATATATACAACATATGTACAAATGATATATTCAAGCAGATATGTTTTCATTGACTACATAAATAAAGTAACAAAATAACATGTACACATATATTTTTCTCTAGTTTAATGACTGAACAGAAAAGCATTAAATGTGTGAGTGGAACATACAAAAAGTTGTGAGTTAGGCCAAACATATAAAACATCTGTTGAGGTTTACAATATATATTTTGTTTAACCCTTAATTAACCCCTAGCTAACTTTAGTAGACTCTACCATATGAGTCCATGGTGGTCCACAGTGGTGAAAGGGTTAACATCTTTAGATTCACAACCCTATTCAAAGACAATTTTGTAGCAAAAAAAATTAACAACCCAGTGAATAATAGCGTCAGTCTGATTATATATAATTAGCACAACAAAGTGATGGAAAACGTAAAATAGTTTTCCAGATTATTTGAATTACATGCTAACTAACAGATCATCACAAATGTGATCCATTTAACTTGGGATGTTACACAGCGACTGGGTGAAATTCATGTTTGAAATTGTTTAGAAAGCTTGACTTCCGAGAAGCATGCATAAAAGAAATTTAAAGATATTGTCTATATACAAATCCGATGAAAAATGTATTTTATCTATTTTTCCCCTCTTTACCATTTTTTCCCCTTTAGGATGGAACCTTAAACAGACATTTTATTCAGTTTGGCCATATAATGATAACGCTGGGATATAACAACAGGTCACAAGGAGCAGGTGTTCTAGGAACTAGCTCGCCAACTGTCTTACCTTCTTCCTTTTGTGTTTAGGCGACTCTTTGAAAAGCTTTCTCTCATCTGATGTAAAATGGGCAGAGTACACATATTATACACAGGTCGACAGATGTGCTTCTATCACAAAAGTGCACACATGCATACAGGTCAGAAAAAGAAAATACACTATGAGATTCAGATTCTTCAGACAAGGCATTGAAAATATACAGAACTTGGATGACAGTGACAGGGACAGATGTGTTCCACTTGGTGTCAAAATTTTATATATTTTATCAATGAAGATATTTTTAATTTTTTATAATGCAAACATTATCAAATTCTTTCAGAATATCATCTTTATACCTGGTATTTACATTTTGAAGAAATTAAGACTTTTTGAAATTTTGCAATTTTTCATCATATATTGCTCAAATGTTGAGACAGGTTATTTTATTGTCCAGGATTTTCTATTACTGTGACAGCGGGACACTCACCATGTCTGACGAGGCGTAGGCTTTCTTCATCGTCAGACAGAAAGTGGGTCTTCCTTACCGAGGGCGACTTCCTACCGATACTTATATCGTCCTATATATCAAAGTTATAAATTTAAGCCTCAAAAATACAAAATTCGCTTTTAAAACTTGGTACACTGTCCCTTATGCAAACTCTGTCAACAAACCATACCAGAAAGAACGGCGTTCAGGTTTTATTGATAGTAGAAGTGGTGTAGAATTTGCGTTCAATTCTATAGAGAGATGGCAAAAATTTCATTGGTCAGGATATATATGTTCATCCCAATGAAGCTTAAACATTCTTACACTTGCTGTTAGTGTTGATTTTAAATATTAGCTAGACAAGACATTTACATAATATGCAATCTTTCATTTAGTATTTAACGCATGTAAAAGCCGTAACATTGTTGTTGATCACAGAAAAAAACGATCGGGAATGCCTAAACAACCAAGTTTTTCGAAAAGTTAAATATTTTATACTCTAGCTAAAGACATGCAATCTTAAGTGCATTACGTAAGTGAATCTCACATTATAAATCCAACAGACAGGACAGAATGCGACAGGGAAATGTTGTGACATCATGTTACAAGAAATTAACAATACGATGGAAACTCATAAGTTTGACAAAAATTCAATTTGGTTTCTGAGGAAAAAGTAGAGAATTTTTCAATTACAAGTATCTGGCTTAATGAAGCTATAGTTTTCACTTCAGAAGTACTTGTTTTATCAATTTTGAAGCAAATACAATTCGGAACCTGGGGAGAAATGAGGGAAATTCATCTATTCCGAGTAAGAACTAGTTATTTTCACTTCAGGATATGTAATATCAAATTTTGAATATTGTAAGTTAGTCTGAAAACAGATTTTTTGCGAATTCCAGTCTGGAATAACGAGGTTCCACTGTACCACTATAGAAATAGAGAAAGTGTAGGCATGATAGGAAGGTCAAATGTTAATGACAATTCACATCTACCTACAAAACAATGACGTAAAAAAGGAATTGTTGCTCGCCATAATCAGTGATTAATGATATCAACAGGATGGGAAACTTAAATAAAAGGTATTGAAACATGAAATTTTTAAAAATTTAAATACATTGACATAGTTTTAGAAAGTTAATATTTTTTTTCTCTATAAAAGTTCTTACATATGACATAATTCCATGATCTGGCAGCTCTAAGCCTCTGACTGGTGACGTCATGCCCCGAGTCGGTGACGTCATACCTCGTATCGGTGACGCTATGCTGGGGTCTTTGTCCAGTTCTATTCCCATACTAGTATGAGGTCTTCTGTTTCAAGTAAATTTTAAATACCAGTATTTACTATCTCCTAGATATAACGTTTCAAAATGCATAGAAGATCTGTAAAATCGTTTGATTGTTTCAATAATAAGAGCTAAATCAAAGGCTGATAAAACTTAGAACTGTAGGCCAAAAGCTAGCTTAAACAACCCCTGCTAATCAAATAACTTTAATATGGAAATCAAAGCAAAGAAAGAAAAAAGCGAGCAAGACTGGAGATTGTGTGATTGAATTATATCACTGATATGTATAATGTACTGTTAAAAACTAAAAATATTTAAGAAATAATATGTATATACCTAACATCCTATGGGGGTATAACAGTATAACCATAAAAAGATAATACAATTATCTTCATAATCTACATAGTGCCCCTTTTGCGTATCCCATTCAACTGGTTTGTCTATTTTCAAATGTAACATTTTCGGTCATAAATCCTGGCAGACCTGCAAATGTTTATGCAGGCCTTGCAAGGCTTTATCAAGACTGGCCTGAAAGCAGCATCAAATTACTAGGTCGAACCTTTTTTCATAAACTAACAAATCTGGTCCAACCAGTTCAACTGTTTGGATTGAGAGAAATGAATGCAGCCTAGGTCTTCTGATGGAAATGTACTTCTCTCAACGATTTAATGAGATTAAACATGTAATTACAAAACTTGAATATATACAATAAACATTTACTTATTTCATGATATTTTATAACTTTTTGTGCTCATTTTAAAGCTATTTGGCAACAGCACGACTGATTTAATGCTTACCTGCGGAGTCCCCGTTCATATCCGATGGGAGATAAACCAGACCTCCAGGTAGAAGACGCTGTGGGGTTTCCTATGGATGATTTGAACAATGACGACCCAACTGATGATGTCAGCTCACCGGCCACCCAGTCAGGCACCTGGTCCTTCAAACAAATACAAAGACACATTTAACATAAACTGATCTCATAATATCCAGCATTACTGAGAAACTTATTTGACCTTTTGTCTACATTTAATTTCCGAATTTCATTTTCTTACTTAACTTTTAAACTTGAAATCATGAGATAATTGCCTTAACCAGGCAAATTTGATTCAGCTTGAACTGGACCAAAAGACAATTATAAATATGGTTTTCATCTCTTTGTCTTTAATACCAAAGTTGTTTAGGATACACATGTTCAGTGTATGCTAATATCTTTAGAGAAACTGTGAGCTCGCTCACAAAGATATACCCTCCACAATTTTTTTTCTTCGTGCACATCTACAAATGATGTACTTTTGCTGTGCCAAGTAACTAATAAAACCCAGTAAAGGAGGAGTTGCGCTTTCAAGTTTCTGGAGCAGAAATTAATGTTTCAAGGGCAAAAACTCCAAAAAAATAGTCAAATCTCAAATTCCTTTCTTCACGCTCATCTACATATAATGTACTTTCACTGTGTCAAGTTACAAAAAATCCAACACATGGTTAAGGAGGAGTTGATCAACAGACAGACCCACGCACAGACAGGGTGATTCCTATATAGTATATACCCCCCTTTACTTTATTGGCAAGGGATATAATCAACACAGAGGAATCTGAGTAAATACTGTTTGTTAAAATAACCAACTATGACTTGTAACAACAGATTTCTAAACATTTTGACCCACGCTGTAGCCACGTTTCACTGTATAAAGAACCTTTATCTATTGTCCATCTGAACTTGTTATACTGACCTCAGACTGGCCTTTTTTGCCCGATGGCTCATCAAAGTATATGGACTGAAATGAATTGAAAAAGAAAATATATTAAAATTGAGCACACTAATAAACAAGAAAAAGTTGGAAAAAAAATAGATTCTGAGAAATAAATACAGGGGATTTAATAATAGGTTAAAATTGAGCAGCGCATATATACATAGCCATATAAATCACAGCAATGACTTTTAAGAAAAGGAGTACTTTTCTTTAATTCATTTAGTTTAAAATCACATTCATTTACTAACTTAAATTAGTATAATGAATCATTAACTAAAATTATCAAAATTCAATTTGGTGAAATTTATGGGTATTTTTGTATTTCTTTTCTTCTGGTGGCAATCAGAATCTAGAATGGAGCGTTAGTTTTGGATTTCAACATGTCTGAAAATGAAAATGAAATTATTGAGGTGAATTTGTAGTAAATCAGGGCCAACAGTGGGTACTTGTATGGACTTGCCACATAGGAAGGTGGATAGGTAGAAAAAGCAGCTATCCTATAAGTAGAAAGATAAGTAGTAGATGTGACGTACCATATAAGGAGGAAGTGTTGGTAGGGGGCCGTCCTGGGGTTTACTGGTGAAGGGCCCCTCCAGGACCCCTCTCTTCAGCATGTGTAACATTAGCTGGGCGTACGCATTACGATTCTTTCTGTTGGTCGAGAACAAACAAACATATTACAACAGTTCCAACACCTTGTAAAATTCATACAGGCAATACGTCAGACTTATACAAAATAATCCAAACTTATGGTCTGCATGTGTTTATATGGAATTGGAATATTGTTCAGTTTTCCAGATTTTTTAACTTCAAAATAATTAAGTAATATGTCCATAACAAGAGTTCCACGAAACGGTACATGATACGCCTGTCAGATGTAGAATGAGCAGTTTGCCACAAAAATTAACTTTTGGAGAGATAAGTGTGAAATCTACAAAGGGCCATAACTGCATAAATAAGCGGCAAATAATTTTGTTTATCAAGCTTGTCCGAGCTTTCATGGCAATTAACCTTCCTACCAAGTTTGAAATTAATCCATTCAAAATTACTCAAGTTATTGAGCGGAAACTGTTTCGGCAATTCTTTAAAGGGCCATAACTCCATAAATAACTAGCAAATAATTTTGGTTATCGCAAGCATTCATAGAAATGAACCTTCCTATGAAGTTTGAAATTAATCTATTTAAAATGACTGAAGTTATTTAGCAGAAACTGTTACGTCAATTCTATAAAGGGCCCCTATAAATAACAGGCGGATAATGGTTATCAAACTTTTGCAAGCTTTCATAGAAATGAACCTTCCTATGAAGCTTGAAATGAATCTATTCAAAATAACTGAAGTTATTGAGCGGAAACTGTTTCGGCAGTTCTACAAAGGGCCATAACTCCGTAAATAACCAGCGAATAATTTTGGTTATCGAAGTTGTCCGAGCTTTCATGGCAATGAACCTTCCTACCAAGTTTGAAATTAATCCATTTAAAATTACTTAAGTTATTGAGCGGAAACTAATGTGTGCCCGCCCGCATGAAAACAATATATACCGTCATTCGACGGGCGTATGAAAATGACATTATAAACATACCTCCCAGTTATTCCCATGACTGGTTCACATAGCTTCTTGATCCATATTGCACATTTTTGTCGATCTGGAATGATTAATAATGCAATAATACTGTGAAAGAACAAATTCATGAAATGGGTGATTTACATGCATGCTCACATTTCGGTATAATTTTATCCCACACATGACCATTTGCAACTCAAAATATGTATGAACTTTAGTCACAATGTTTGAGGAGCTTTGCTTACCCAATTCAGCTAACGTAAAACATGTTGCAAAGAAAATCTCCATTTTTAATTAATCTACACTCGGATGCATTCTAGGCCTTCATAAAGTCACCTTTTCTCAAACAACCACTGTAGGTTTCCTCACTCCTGACTCATTTGATAAACTTGCTAGGAGTTGGAAAACATTTTTGTTACCCACAAGTGGACGTTATTTCATTGGTTAATTTTCTAATTACGACGACAAGTAACAATTCTTTGTAACGTCATCTTCCATTGTGACGTCATACATTCATAGCAATTGTTTGCCCCAACGGAAACAGGAATAATGAATTTCCAAAATACAAGAGAAACATGGTTTTCTAGATATAATATCTGAACGCTGTGGAAGAAAAAGTACCTAAATTTGTGATGGTTGAGGATCATGTTTATCTATAGCTAACTCGAGCTCTCATTAGTTAATTTTAAAACTGTGAGACACACTCAGTAAACCGTGTCTTTATACAGTTTGAAAATAAACTAATTCTGTTAAATAAACATGATAACCAACCACTGCTTGTTTGGGAACTTCTATATTCCTGGTAGACATATATATATTCACAAGGACAATTAAATATTTTTTCAACATGAAAGTTTTAAACAATTTTACATCTTCAAATCTATTTTATACTGTTATAGCAATCTTGAATATATTTCGACTGATTATGTTGTAATGTGCTTATTTTATGATTTAGTTTATATTAAAAATATGTTTTATGATTCTGGAATGTTTTTTAACCGATTATGCATATGTTACAAACCTGATTTATGAGGAAGTTTAAGCACATGTGGTTTCATGTCCGCTAAGACCTTGTCAAACTTTTGGTCTAGGCCAAGGTAAACTGGATCACCTGCCATGGTGGTGGCCATGGTGTCCTCTAGTTCAATACTAGAATGAAATTGTGTTTTCTTGTAGATGTGCCAGTCTTTACATCATATGTTGGTAACTACATCACAGCAACAGGTAGATCTATATCAAACGAAATAAAAACATTCTTTATTAATTAATATACATGTACTGATTTTCATGATGCTGAAAAATATTCAAGATGATTTCCAAATAAGAACAAATAAATTGCAGGAAAAAAAAATGTTTTTAAGCAATTTACTGACTGCTTTTCATGATTTGATAAAATTAAGGATATTTCGAATAACAAACAACAATTTGCCGCAACAAACTAATTGTTTAAATCAATGAGACATTTGACAAAAGCTGTTAATTATAAAATTACCAAGACCATTCTGGTCATGTAAAATTTGTGAGAATAGAATTAATCTGTTCTATTATAAATTATCCACAATATATAAGTGACAGATGATGGTAAATTTCATTTGACATATTTAAACAGCGCAGTGGCAGAGATAAATAAAAAAACAATTCCCATCCATTTTTGAAAAGTGTGTGGACATAAGTTACTTGGATATACAAGATAAAATTAATATAAGTGCAAACCAAACCTGGTGCGCACATTAAAAACACTCTATTGATGACATTCCCAGCATCTCCTCCCCATCAAAAAACTAATAATAATGAGACATTAACATATTTCGTTTATGGAAGGGCCAAGTGTAAAATATTATCAAAACAACAAGGACCTGTCGTTTGTATAAAAATATGACACCCTAAAATGACTTGCAGGTAAAAATGAATTTGCACTTAGATCATTTACCGACATTGTCATAAATTATTGAAAGTTTTAATATTTTTAGAAATGATTTGTGCTTTGATAATTAGCCCACAGAATATGCTAGTTTAATTACAAACATATTGAACAATATAATGTCGAATTAAATTGATGTTGCAAGTCAAATCACAAAATGACCATTCCTAAAACATTAAAACAGGCACAGGCATGTCACCGACTTTTTGACACTTTACATTTTAACAATTAAACAATAATCTATATCGTTTCAATAAATTGAACTTAATAAGAAAGCAACACTATTTCTCACTCAACAATTGTAGCTGTTGTTTAAATGTTCTTGTTCCATGACGAAGCGGAGTCGGTCGCTTTTTTCGGTATGTTTTGATATTCCCTTTTCAATTTTGCCGCAGCCACACCGGAAGAAACAACAAATAGTTTTAGCGCATGCGTATAATCATTTAGTTGATTTCCTGTTATGGAGAGAGCTCGTTAGCAATACACGTGAAACCAGCCACAAATCTCCACAATGACAACGATTCGGCCATTCAGGTGTGATGACCTGTTCAAGTTCAATAATGTGTAAGTTTCTATATCATGTGTTCATGCGTCTTTCTTCAAATTGCCATGGAAACATTTAACACGCCGAAAATCATGCCGGTAAATGTGGTCTACGGGTCAGATTTGTCTGCTTGCATTCATGGCCAAAGAAACCTCTGAACATTTATTTGTTGAACGCTCAAATATTTTTGATGTCGGTCAGTTTAAAAGATGGCACGGCTTGTTAATCTAACTGATATATTATAACTATTTTGCAATTGTGTGTTTCTGAAATAAGTATATTGGTTTAAAAAGAATGAGTCAAGGTAAATGTATTGTAAGCTGGGAGTATCACTTTTTCTATTTTCATTTTTAGAAATTTGGATCCACTCACAGAAACTGTATCCTTTCGCAAACCTTGTTAACAGGAAGCTTACAGCAAACAGATTTTAGCTAAGTTTGAACTTGAAAGAGTGAGATAATACTAATCATATTTAATTAAATATTTAACAAGATTTTAGGAAAAATGCAACGGCCAGACCAGAATTTCAAATGCAGAACTTCAGTAGATCTTGACCCCTACTCTAATCAATTAAACTATTTAAGTCATTTTGCTGCTGTATCAATTACATTTCCTTGATACTTTCAGAGATGGCATGATTAATTTTGTCTTAAAACTGATAATAGATATTATAAAGTTTTTAATCAATTAATTAGTTAAGCCAGGGATGTGTAGTGGAATTATTTACTTAAACTCGCAATTGTCAGACATCTGATATAATTTGCATTATTTTGCAAATGTTACAACTCCTTGACTGAACCAGTATGGCCTGCCATTTTACATGCAGTATCTTGCCCACTGGCCAGAATATTTCCAGGTAGCTGAGTCTCCCAATGGTCAGATAATGGGTTACAGTAAGTACAATTGCTATACAAAATGTGCGCATGTGCATTATGGTGAAATATATAATGAAATTTGAAAATGACAATGCTAATTCGTCGGTTTTAATAGCTCCTTAGAGCTAATGTTGTATTGTTATACCATGTACCGACTCTAAATAAAACTTTTGACTTTGACCAAGGCAATCTGCTGGTTCCATCATATATATACATTACGTGTCCTTTTGGTCCCAAGAAGGTTGCATGTGAACGTTTTCCTGATGTCTTTTCACAACGTTGCCACAATGCTATGTTTAGGAAAGATCCTAACGTTACATTTTGGTCCGTAGAAGGTTGCATGTAAAAGTTTTCCTGGCGTCTTTTCACAACATTGTAGCAACGTTATGATATTATCTGAATTCAACATTTATACAACGTTATCTAAACGTGGCACAACAACAAAGACGATATATTTTGATTTTGTCTTATTGCATGTACTGTAAACACGCGCGGGGGATTTACGCTTACCTTTACCCCTTAAGCGGAGCTGGATCGTCCGCATAAATTTCCCCCGTGCATATGGTTTCGTCGATAGTGTAAGGAACGACAACTCTGATAGATATTGGTACATGTGTGTGTGTGTGATGTCCTCCTGTACTATTGCTTTGTTAACGTATTACTAATTAACGTACATTGTCTTGTAATGGTATCAAATAAAAACTGTAACAACTGAAATAAACTAATTGATAAGTTGAAGTTTTTAATGAACAACAAATTTGAAATCTATATAAAGGCACAGAGAAAGTCATGAATAAACCCGGGTGCATCGAGGTCCGGTACACATCACTGACACGCGTGTCTACAGAACACAAACAGCTAGTAGGGTACAGGTAAATGCCCCCGTCATCTTGGTTGCGACATTAACTGCGTTCGAGTTATGACAACTTACGAATAGTGTATGGTTTTATCATTGTTATTTGGAAAACATGTTTGTTTTGACTAAATAGCACTCACCTGTTTGATCCGAGGTGATTACGAGATCAGCTGGTATAAGACACACATACATATGAATACAGTTCACTTTATTTTCATCTGTCCAATGACCAGTCGGTACGCATACGTAACATGTACTCAGTAGATACTAGTATTTTTACCTGTACACATTTTGTAAAGTAAGGGAGATAACTATGCAGAGTGAACGTCGGTCTACAGCGATGTAAATGTAGAAGATCTCGACTGTGTAAACATGAATACTTCATTTACAATAAAGTAATATTAGTAAAACTGCACATTTTCCCCCGAAAAATTTAATTATTATTTGTCAATATCGATTGATTTAGTGTATGATACAAAGTGACCATCCACGTCAACATTTTTTCACATAGTGACACAACATGTCAACATATTTTCACATAGTGACACAACACATCAACATATTTTCACATCGTGACACAATACCTCAACGTATTTCCACATAGTTACACAACACGTCAACATATTTTCACATAGCGTCACAACATGTCAACATATTTTCACATAGAGATGCAATTCATCAACATATTTTCATATAGTGATGCAGCACGTCCACATATTTTCACATAGTGACAGGCGCAACACGTCAACATGTTTTCACAGTGACACAACACATCAACATATTTTCACATTGTAACACAACACGTCAACATATTTTCACATAGTGACACAACACGTCAACATATTTTCACATTGTGACACAACTCGTCAACATATTTTCACATAGTGACACAACACGTCAGCGTATCTTTTTACAATTTGAAACAACACGTCAACATATATATTATATTGGGATTGTATACTGTATCATTTCACTAAATAATGAAAACTAGGCAATGATTAAATTCATTATCTCTGACATCGCAGCAATTAACCTAGACTGGCCACTGTCTCTAGAATATTTAATAATTAAGAAAACAACTTGAACTCTAAAAATGTTGATCACTTGGATGTCTGAACTAAGGGGAGATAAGCTAGTAGTAAAATGCAGCCGAGAAATCCTTCATAAAACTTAGGTGCTGGTAGCCAGTCTACAATTAAACCATTGTTAACCCTGGCGGATGCTATCTGGCCACAAGGTCATGCTATGGAGATTGACCAGAATGACCAATCCCTTATCAGGAGGTTAAATCTGTACAGCCTCTGACCCCAAAATACACATGTGCTAATTTATAAGTGACCCTAGCCGTTAACATGCATGGTGTATTATAGTGGTGTATTACACTTACCGGTAATGCCACTCATTGATCTGATTAAGCACAACTTGTCTGTTGTTTCTGTTTCACCGATTGGCTTGTCTCAAGTTGTTTGTAATATGACTTAGGCCTAATGTATTCACACATGTTAATAAATATATAGTGTCAATATAGAGAACTCCTCTACCGTTGAGAGGAAGGGGGAAATCCGTTATATGAAGCGCCTCGTAGAGAGTGGGAAATGACAAATAAACAGATGGTTGAAACTATTGTTAATCGCACATCACGGTTATCAGGATAAGCTTTTAACCCGTTAAATTCAATTCAAAACTTTAAAATGAACATGGACAAACTTGCAATCGTTTTCTCATACATGGCCTGACTGATCATCGTAACTGCCGTATTTTTGAACATCATCATATTGCGATAGTATAAAAATTGTGCACATTCCAAAAACCATACTAGAGTTACATACTATAATTGAAGTTTGCTCAATGGAAGGGATTCCATAAAACATGAACACGGACGTCTCAGAAATCAAGTGAAGAAGTCCCTCATCTTTCCCTTGTCAGTTTTCCAGCAAGAATATTTGATTCATTTAGAAATACTTAACAAAACATACCAAACTGAGATTAAAGTAAGACAAGACCTTATAATTTACAAATAATTGTGGTAGATCTACGGTCTAAACATACCGATCTTGTGAGATATGCTGTCAGACGTTATGTTAGTATATAACACGGTTGCTGTTTGATATTTATTCAATATTTCTAGCTATACATTTCCATTCGGTATCTTTTTGATAGTAATTTATTTTAAATATATTGTGGTGTGACCAAATCACAACATTATTACAACGTCAATTTCTAACGGTGTATGATGATTGCCGACGTCGCAACCAGAATACAACATTGTAACAATGTAAATACAACCGTATGTGCCCACTGGGTATAGTGTTTTAGAGGACAGATTGGCATTTTCTACACAACTGTACAAATTTGCCACAAAAGCTAAGATCAAAGATAGAAATCACTGTTAGTTATATCCAGCCTCAGTAATCCAGCCACCTCTGGACTGGTGTACCCCATCAAGTTTTGGTAATCAAGTATACGCTGGCTTTCCCGTTATCCAGTCTGCTGAATCAAGCCACCTCTGGACTGGTGTACCCCATCAAGTCTTGGTAATCAAGTATACGCTGGCTTTTCCGTTATCCAGTCTGCTGAATCAAGCCACCTCTGGACTGGTGTACCCCATTAAGTCTTGGTAATCAAGTATATGCTGGCTTTCCCTTTATCCTGTCTGCTGGATCAAGCCCCCTCTGGACTGGTGTACCCCATCAAGTCTTGGTAATCAAATATACGCTGGCTTTCCCGTTATCCAGTCTGCTGAATCAAGCCACCTCTGGACTGGTGTACCCCATTAAGTTTTGGTAATCAAGTATACGCTGGCTTTCCCTTTATCCTGTCTGCTGAATCAAGCCACCTCTGGACTGGTGTACCCCATCAAGTCTTGGTAATCAAATATACGCTGGCTTTCCCGTTATCCAGTGCTGAATCAAGCCACCTCTGGACTGGTGTACCCCATCAAGTCTTGGTAATCAGGTATATGCTGGCTTTCCCTTTATCCTGTCTGCTGAATCAAGCCACCTCTGGACTGATGTACCCCATCAAGTCTTGGTAATCAAGTTTACTCTGGCTTTCCCGTTATCCAGTCTGCTGAATCCAGCCGCCTCTAATCCAGTTGTCCCCCTTTCCAGCCACATTATCCAACAATCACTAATCCAGTGGTCCCAGGATCAGCCTCATCAATACAGCCTCATCAATACAGCCTCATCACTTATACACTGGTTCAAGTATCCAGCATTGTTAATTTAGCAGTTGCTAATCAAGCTGTCTCATTCATTAAATTATCCAGCCTTGTTAATCCATTCACCACTAATCCAGTGGTCCTGTTATCAGTTTCCAGCCTCGTTAAGCCACCACTAATCCCGTAGTCTTGCTATCCAGCCTTGTTAATCCATTCACCACTAATCCAGTGGTCCTGTTATCAGTTTCCAGCCTCGTTAAGCCACCACTAATCCATAGTCTTGCTATCCAGTCCTGTTAATCCATTCACCACTAATCCAGTGGTCCTGTTATCAGTTTTCAGCCTCGTTAAGCCACCATTAATCCCGTAGTCTTGCTATCCAGTCCTGTTAATCCATTCACCACTAATCCAGTGGTCCAGTTATCAGTTTCCAGCCTCATTATGCCACCGTTAATCCATAGTCTTGCTATCCAGTCTTGTTAATCCATTCACTACTAATCCAGTGGTCCAGTTATCAGTTTCCAGCCTCATTATGCCACCGTTAATCCATAGTCTTGCTATCCAGTCCTGTTAATCCATTCACCACTAATCCAGTGGTCCAGTTATTAGTTTCCAGCCTCGTTAAGCCACCACTAAATCTGGTGGTCTTCCAGCTACCAGAAATATGCTGGTTCAGTATTCAGCAATTTTTTTTGAGAAATTCAAAATGATAAGCGACAGTAAATTGAGTTATTTCACAACAATGTAAGCAAGATCAGAGCTGCAACAATTTTGTAAAATCATCTAAAGCTACACACTCTGAATTAAGTCTGGTGATAGCAACTTCCTCCATAGCACATGAACCATGAAAAAACTATTGAAATTATTTGATAGACTACGTTTCTTTTATGTCTGATCAATGGTATCACACGATGATGACTAACAAGCTTAAGGTCATCTCAGAAACTTGGTACATTAGATGAGGCATACTTGCCAACCCTCCGTATTTAGGAGGGAGACTCC